AAAGATGTCGTTAATACTTTAAAAGTACTGCATATATTTAATTACATACATGTAGTTTACAAGATTACTTATAATTAATTGGAGAACGGTCGGTTATTTATTGGGTTTCTTCGGTCAATAATTGGTGATTTTAGTATTTCAAGATTCAAATAACAAAATTAATATAATTTTGTTAATTTTTATTATAAATTAATATTAATTATTATTAATTAAGTATTTAACTTTAATAAAATCCATTACAAATTATTTTTAGTAGGTTAATAGATTTTTTATAGCTTAATACAGAAAAAGAAAACCTTAATCGGTCAATAATTGGTGCATTTACCCTATTTAGCTCTAAAAAAATACTAAAACTTTTTGTTATTTTTTCCTTTAAATTTCTCATTAAAAACATTTTTTACAAGAGAATTTTATTAAAAAATTCATAAAAACATTTTTTTTTTAAATGAAAGAAAAAAAATTCATTTAAAATTCAAGTGCAAGATTTTTTTTAAGAGAATTTTATTAAAAATTCTATTGAAAAAATTATTTTTTTAAAATTATAATTAAAATTTAAATTTTTTGAATCATCCAGGTTGCTAATTATAAATAAATTTTTTTTTTTATTTTAATTTCAGCGTTGGATTAACGCATCGTTTTTTCTCTGAGTGGAACTGTCGAATCACGGAACACGAATGGAACGCCCCTCATCTATCAGTCAAGCGTTCCTTCGACTTTTGCTGTCCTAACCACGGCGATTGTACGAGAAAAATATTGGCAATGTACCACGACGATAACGGAGTAAGATAATAATTTTAATAATTAATTAATAAAATTAGTAATAAATTTGTTAAAAATTGTAGTTGATACTGAAAGCGTTGGCGGACTCGATATACATATTTACCTACACAATAGACTTCCTAGAGAACGGGAGGCGGAACATAACAATTACCGAGTTCTACAAATTGCATCCGGATAAGATTGAGGCCACTGATTTGTTCATAAGGTACATTGCGATAAACAAAGTTGCCTTTGTTGCGGATAACAAACACCTGTATATTTTGTTCGACGGTCTGGGAACCAAGATGTCGGATGAGAACTACAGCACTCGCGGCCCCTACCGGCGGTTCCAGATTCCTGTCTCTTCTATTATCATGCATTCAAATTTGATAATTATGGGACTTACTGACGGTAATATTTATTAATAATTTTTATTATTTAAATAAAAATAAATGAAAAAATTTGATGAAAAGTTTTTTATTAAAAAAATTAATAAAAAAAATTTTTTTTTAATTTAATAAAAAGTTTTTTGTTATAAATTTGAATCTGAAATTTAATAAAAAGTTTTTTGTCAAAAAATTTGATGAAGACTTTTTTATTAAAAAAAATTAATAAAAAAATTGAAAAAAAAAAAAAAATATCGTTGGTAATACTGCAATACATTGTTATTTAATTTATCACCGAGTAACTGCTAAAAATATAATTTTACAGAAATAAAAAAAAATTAGCAACCTTGCAGTCACTATGTGACGGCCATAACTTGTGAACTATAAATGAAGGAAATTTTGGTTTATTAAATAATGTATTTCGTTAAATTGCCCTGTACTTTCTTAAATATTGACATTTTTGAAGATATAAGCTCATCCCGATGTTACACTCATCAAGAGCTTTCATTTGAGTACCCACATGCATTTTTATATATTTTTCATATATACATATATATAATATATATTTTAATGGTATAAGCTCATCCCGATGTTACACTAATCAACAGCTTTCATTTGAGTACCCACATGCATTTTGATATATTTTTCATATATGTATATATATAATATATATATATATACATATATATAAATATATAAAAAATTGATGTGGGTACTCAAATGAAAGGTCTCGACGAGTGTAACATTGGGATGAGCTTATATCTTTAAAAATGTCAATATTTCACAAGGTACAAGGTCATTTCTTAATTATGTATCTAGAGATAGAGCATTTTCGAATGCAGCTTAAATACTTATCATAATAAATTTACTATCGGTGAGAATGATATGAAACCTTGAAAAGGCACAAATTTAAGTCAAGACCTTTGCAATGACACTAAATTTCACTAAAAAAAATCGATTTTATCATATGACTATCCTGAACATAAAATTTATCTTATTCTCTTAATAATATAGATAATGGATGAATCTCTTTGAAATTAAATGTATAAGCTCAAATTATTATTATTTATCATACCGAAGGTTTGATTTATTAATTTCATTGAAAATATAATATTAAATATCACAAATTGATAGTCATATTACTTAAGTGCCAATATCTTATAAAAACTGATGAATTTTGAAAAATATTTAATATATAAAAATATATTTTTTTTTTTGACACAACATTTTCCCACCTGTTCCTTCAGTTCTCTCCACCTTTCTTCACCTCTCTGTTCTTTCCACTCTATACGTTCCTCCTTCTCTTCGTACCTCTCCAAGTCTCTACGTTTCCAGTAAAGCACAACAGGGGGTTAAAGGGATGGTGGAATGAGGAGTGCAGGCGATCTAAAAGAGATTTGAATAGAGAAATAAAGAAGAAAAGGGGAGCAGGGATGCTGACTAAGCTGAGGAAGAAATATAGAGATCTTTTGGAGAGGAAGAGAAAGAGCTGGGAAGAAAAGATGGAGAAAAAACTTGGAAGGATAAAGAATGAGAAACAGGCATGGGAATTTCTGAGAAGAGACTTGAAGAAGAAAGAGGGTGTAACAGAAAAGTTTACAATAGAAGAGTGGAAAAACCACTTTTGGAAAGGATTAGACGGGGTAGGAGAAAAACCAGAGATTCTAAAGGAGGTGGGCAGGACGGGAGAAAGTAAATGGGAGACGGAACCATCAGATGAAGAAATTGACAGGCAGATTGCGAAGCTGAAGAAAGGGAAAGCGGAAGGAGGGGATGAAATAAAAAATGAAGCGTGGATATATGGAAGAGGAAAGATCAGGTGCAGAATAAGAGAGATTATAAGAGAAGTGTGGAGAGGAGAATACTTTCCGGAAGATTGGAGGGAAGGGATTATAACTCCGATTTTTAAGAAAGGAGAAAAAGATTGTTTGGATAATTACAGGGGGGTGACTCTCACAAGCACGGCGTATAAAATATATGCCTCGATTTTGAATGAGAGAATCTTGAAGTCGGTAGAAGAGAAAGAAGGGTTTGAGGAAAATCTGGCGGGGTTCAGGAAGGGAAGAGGGTGTATGGACCACGTATTTACCCTAAAGCACTGGATAGACAAGATAATAAAGGAGAAAGGAGGAGCTGCATATGTATTGTTTCTGGATCTAAGAGCAGCCTTTGATAAACTAGATAGAGTAGAGTTATTGAAGGCAATGGAAAATATAGGATTAGAGGAAGGACTTATTGAGCAGGTGAGAAGGATTTATAAGGAGACGAAGTGCAGGGTTAGAGTAGGGGGAGAACTATCGGAGGGATTCTGGACGAAGAAAGGAGTGAGACAGGGGTGTCCTTTGAGCCCTACCCTTTTTAATATATACGTGGCAGATATGGAAGATCATATGAGAAGGAGACAGGTGGGAGGGAGAAAAATCTGGACACTGGCATACGCGGATGATACGGCCATGGTGGCAGAAAGCGAAGAAGAAATGAGGGAGATGATGAAGCTAGGGGAGAGATACTTCAAGAAGAGAAAACTAGAGGTCAATGTAGGGAAAACTAAAATGATGAAATTCAGCAAAGGAGGAGGGAGAGGAAGAAGGAAGAAGAGAACATGGAAGTGGGAGGGAGAGGATATAGAAGAGGTAAAGAATTTCAGCTATCTAGGATATATATTTATGAGAAATAATGTTGCGAAGGACCACGTCAAGGAAAGGGTGAGGACAGCGAGGCAGGCAATGGGAAGAGTATGGGGATTAGGAGAAAGGAAATTTGGAGGAAGACTTAAATGGAGGACGCTTCTCTTTAACAGCATAGTGAAAAGCATCCTGATGTACGGAGCAGAATTGTGGGGTTGGAATGAGAGAAAGGAGGTGGAAAGACTGCAAGAGCAGTACGGAAGATGGATAATGGGGGTAGGTAGGCAGGTACCAGGGTATATTGTGAGGGAAGAGCTGGATCTGGAAAAGATAAGGGTCAGTACGGGATACAGAGCGTTAAAGTTTGAGGAAAAATTAAGATTCAACGGAGAAAGGACGTTAGTGAAAAAATGCTGTGAAGAGAGAGGAAGAAGGACGGCTCTAGGAAAGATAAAAGATGTAGAAAGGGAGAGCTATCTCATGAGATGTGGATGGTCATCGGCAGGACTGGAGTTGGAGTGGCGGCAGGGAAAGGAAATGAGCAGAAAGCTGAAGGAGAGAGACTTCTCGGCACAGAAACAGGAGAGAAGAACGGGGATAGAGAACTCAAACTTCAATCAGGATTACAAGAAGAGAATCGTAGAAGGTATGCCGGAATATTGGAGGGAAAGAGAGGGATGGAAATTGGAGAAAAAAAGAATAGCAGCAAAGATAAGATGTGGCAGTGAATGGAAAGGAAGCAGATATTGGTTAGATGAAGAAGATAGAAAATGTAGGTTATGCAAAGAAGAAAACGAAACGATGGAGCATGTAACGAGTAGATGTGAAAAAATTGTAAGATGGGAAGGAAATGAGGAACAGTTCATGAATCTGGAAAAAGGGGCGATAGAATGGATGAAAGGATGGCTGGAAAGAGTTGGGAACAGGGGATTGACATGATGGTTTTCTGATTTTGTTTATTTTTCTTTATCTTTTTGAGTTCTTAGCTTTTAATGTTTTGTTTTGTTTTGTTTTATTTTATTTATTTTGTTTCAAATCTGAGTCGCTGATGTTAAGAAAGAGAGAAAAGGAGTTTTGTAAAGCCATACCCGGGCTATAACGGGTAATTGTAACGCCGTTAGGCAACAATTAAAGTTTAATAAAATTATAAAATTATATAAAAATATATTTAAGCTGGTTAAATATAAGATATTAAACATAGTTATTCAAATCATAATAATATTACAATATTTACTATGCTTTATAAAAAAATTACATTATGTTTAGATTTGAAGTACTAAAATAATTTCGTTTCAGATAAAATAATTTTTTTATCAGTATAATTAATGTTAAAAAAATTAATTTAAATTATGAAATAATTTTTTATACTTACTTTAAAAAATTCTGTAGTTTTTCAAATGAAAAAAATTCTTTTTGTAATTTTTGCAAATACTAAAAAATTAAATTTATATTTTTTGCTATTTTCAAACTTACGCGCCATTGCAGTATTACCGACGGTTAAATATAGGGGATTCCCCACTGAGTGAGGTTGAGGCTATGAGCAAAGAGTGTGTTCTATCGCGCGAGCGCAGAAAACTTCTTTCACTTAATACACCTACAAATAATTGTAATAAAATAATAAAATAATTAAAATTAATTACAGGTACACTGTGCCTCAAATATTTCAATGAATTCAAGGACCTGGACACCATTAATTTCCGGGTGGGTTTATTCAGGACGGTGAAGCTCGACACCAAGCCGATAATATCTCTGAATATAACCGACTTTAACGGGAATCCCAGTGTAATTGCGAGTACAGAATCTACTGTACATCTCTTGCATTACTTGTCGAAAGTGTAAATTACCTGTTAATACAATTACTATTATTTTTTGTTATTAATTATTAATAATTAATTGATAGTATTTAATACTATTTAAATAAATTTTGGAATTTGACTACGGAAATATAGATTGTAAAATATGTATTTGATAATTTGTTTTTTTTTTTTTTTTTTTTTTTATTATATAATAAAATTTCAAGTTGATTAATTAAATTATTTTATTTCAGAAAATTATTTTTAATAAATTATTTACTATATTAAGATACAATTATTTATATTAGATAATTTTTCTATAATTACACAATTGTTTTTAATAAAATTTTTCAATGCTAAAATTTTTTTGTCAAAGAAAAATTTTTTTTTTAAATTTTAGCATTAAAAAATTTTTTTTCTAAATAATTAAAGATTATTAATCTAGCTTAACTTTTTTTAGAAGGACTGACAAATTTTCAAAAAAGGTATCTATATTATTAATAGAATAAGAAAAATTTTATGTTCAAGATAGTCATATGATAAAATCGATTTTTTTTAGTGAAATTTAGTGTCATTGCAAAGGTTTTGATTTGAATTTATGCCTTTTCAAGGTTTCATATCATTCTCACCGATAATCAATTTATGATGATAAGTATTTGTGCTGCATTCATAAATTCTCTATCTCTAGACACATAATTAAGAAATGACCTTGTATCTTGTGAACTATTGACATTTTTATAGATATAAGCTCACCCTCAAATTTCACTCATCGAGATCTTTCATTTGAGTACCCTGATCAATTTTTCATATATTTATATATATTATATATATGTATATATGAAAAATATATAAAAATTCATGTGGGTACTCAAACGAAGGGTCTTGATGAGTGTAACATCGGGATGAGTTTATATCTTTAAAATATGAATTATATATATGTATATATGAAAAATATATCAAAATTTAATGTTATTAAATTAAAAAAAAAAGATTTTTAAAAAATTGCATTTTTTCATTTTTAAAAATTTTTTTTGCCATTATTTTTTTATTAACAAACTTTATAAAATTATTAAATATATGCTAAATCAATTCTCATTAATTAAAAAATGACCTTATGTCTTGTGAACTATTGACATTTTTGAAGATATAAGTTTACTCCGATATTACACTCATCGAGACCTTTCATTTGAGTACCCACATCAATTTTTCATATATTTTAGATATTTATATATACAATATATATGTATATATCAAAAATATATTAAAAATGCATGTAGGTACTCAAATGAAAGCTCTTGATGAGTGTAACATCAAGATGAGCTTACATCTTTAAAAATATCAATACTTAAGAAATGATCTTGTATCTTGTGAACTATTGACATTTTTAAAGATATAAGCTCACCCCGACATTACACTCATTGAGACATTTCATTTGAGTACCCACATCAATTTTTCATATATTTTATATATTTATATATATTATATATATGTATATATAAAAAATATATCAAAAATGCATGTGGGTACTCAAATGAAAGCTCTTGATGAGTGTAACATCAGGATGAGCTTATATCTTTAAAAATGTCAATATTTAAGAAAGTACAGGGCAATTTAACGAAATTCATTATTTAATAAAGCAAAATTTTATTTATTTATAGTTCACAAGTCACATAGTGACAGCAAGGTTGCTAGTTATAATAATTAACAATAAGTAGTTATTGCATTAATATTATGTAATAATAAAAATAAAAAATTATAGTTAAAAGTTCCTTATTTAACTCAATGAATTTTTTTAACAGGTTGGAGTCTCATCGGATTAGTGAAAGCATACTGAGGAAACAAATAAGGATATTTAGCCACAAATCCGACTTGTACAAAACCAGTAGAATTATTTTCTTCGCAAAAGATTGGGCTGCCTGGGTCGAAAAACACCTGTTAAGTATATTCATTATAAATAAATATTCCATTGTTTTGTAATAATTTAAATTGATTATTTCAGAACTTACGCGTAAGTCATGAGGATTGTTAACAGGATGGCAACGCAAATGATCGGAGTTGTCGTTAGATGTAAAATTGCAGGTAAGATTAATCGAGCGCTTAGTATTGCTCCGGTTGGCGGACACCATGGTGCAGTTATTGTAAACTCTATTGCGATCATTGTCAACCAGTTTTACGAATTCAAGGCCTTTGTCCAGGTAAATCGGGTCTTTGAGGACCAGGTAAGCGATATCCGTCTTGGAGTCAAAGACATCGGAGACTTCCGGACGGAAAACCTGACGGACTTCGAAAACCATAGGGCTGTATTCTTTGAGAGACTGAATTTCGTTTACCATGAAGTGGACGAAGAACGGCGAAGTTCTGTCGATCATTGTCTCTGTTTGGTTGTAGCCTCCATAAAGGTAAATGTCGGGTTTGTTCTTCGATAAGTAGAAGCTGGAAGCAATTTTAATTTTTTTTTTTAAGTTTAGTGAATATTATTAACAAAGCAAAGGATACATATATTTTATTTCGTTGTCTAGGCAATTTTTTAATTTGTCCAGGTGAATTTTTAATTAGGAATTATTTTTTTAATTTTGAATTTTGGCGGGAAAGTGACGTAGTATTATATCCGGTGCGCAACGCCATCTTACGGATAGTCAAAGAAATATTTTTGGGTTCTTAGTGTCATAAAATAATTAAACGGCTGATATAATGTACATAGGTTACATTCATTGGTTGAAGAACAAAATTTTATGAAGAATAATAAATTATTTGAGAAAAATAATAAATATTAAAAACGCGCTTCGCGCTATGAGGCGTGCAATATTTATTTTGTTAGATTAAGTTTTGAATAGAAAACTTGTATTAATTTTTTTATAATCAAAAATTAATATAAAATTGAAAGAATAAACAAGTTGCATATTTTTTAATTATATTTTTTTTAAAACTTAGTGAAAGTTATTAAGAAAAAGAAGAAAAATTATTTAATTTATTTGTCTAGGTAATTTTTAAATTTGAATTTTCGCGGGAGAGTGACGTAGTATTATATCCGGTGCGCAACGCCATCTTACGGATAGTCAAAAAAATATATCTGGGTTTTTGGTGTCTCATGAAGAAATAAATAAACGGCTGTCATAATATAGGTTAGATTTGTCAATTAAATAAATTAATAAATGAAATAAAATTTTACAAAAAATTATTTGTGGAAAAAATAATTATTTAAAAGCGTGGATAGATAAATACTAATGATATTTACCACCAATACTTTACCAACACCTGGACAAGTTATAAGTGTTGATTATTCAAGCCGACGTCAACCAGATTTTTTATTTATTTTAGATTATATTGCATTAATAAAAAAAAAAATATCTGTCGTATTACTAGACAACATTTATTTTGTTAAATTAAGTTTTGAATAAAAAACTTGCGTTAATTTTTTTACTAAAAATTAATAGATAAGTTGCATGTTTTTTTTTTTTTAATTTTTAGTGAAGATTATTAACAAAATAAAAAAATATTTAATTTATTTGTCTAGGTAATTTTTAAATTGGAAATTTATTTTTAAAATTTGAATTTTGGCGGGAGAGTGACGTAGTATTATATCTGGTGTGCAACGCCATCTATCGGATAGTAAAGAAAATATATTTGGATTTTTGTTGTCTTCTCAGGAAATAAATTTGCCGAAAATTTTTTTTCAGCTGAAGTAGGTAACGCTGCTTCCCTTAAGTATTTAAAAATCTCACTCATATATAAAAATTTGTTGTATCAAGTATTTATGATAATTTGAATTAAGAAAAAATTACTTCTATCAAAAATATAATTTCAAGAAAAATTTTTACTTCCGCCAACACAACTTCGGTCTTCCTTCAGACACCCAACAAATTTTCTTGAGCCAAAAATTGTTTTCGCCAGTCAAGCAATGTTTTTTTCCGTATACAGATCCGAAATTGTTGAAGCCACGGAAAATGAAAGAGTTTGTGTTTTGGGGCACCATCAACGGAACTACCAATCACACCAACTATTATGGATTAATAAATGCTGTTTCTGAAGCTGATGCAGACAAGCTTATGAAAATTGCCGACGAAAATTTTGCCAGTGTTGAACAGCCAGTTTACGACTGGCCTATTCAATTTTCCGTGCCTTACACGCTAATTGAAGGATCTGTATGATTTGTACATTAATAATCCAGTTTATCATTAAATAAAACCTAATTTTTTAATAATTAAATTTTGAAATTTTATTATTTTTAGTAGATTTTATAGAAATCTAACTGTTTCATTGGTTCTCATAATGGAACTTTCAAGAAATTTTGCTATATTCTGCCAGCCCGAGAAAAAATATTTATATATAATTATATATATTTATATATAAATTGGTTATATATGATTATATATGAAAAATGGTCAAATATAATCATATCTAATTATATATAATTATGTATAATTATATATAACTATATATAATTATATATAACAATATTTAATTATAGATTTATTACATCTAATTAATTATTGGGTTAATTTTATGGATAGAGTATTTAATATGGTCCTACGCAATTCTGTGTAACTGATCAAAATGCAAAAAAAATATCTAGATCTAATTTTATGGCTATAACACCAGCGGTCACCCATCCAATTATTAACCCTAATATATGATTATATATAATTCTATATAATTATATATGATTATATATAATTCTATATAATTATATATGATTATATATAATTCTATATAATTATATATGATTATATATAATTCTATATAATTATATATGATTATATATAATTCTATATAATTATATATGATTATATATAATTCTATATAATTATATATGATTATATATAATTCTATATAATTATATATGATTATATATAATTCTATATAATTATATATGATTATATATAATTCTATATAATTATATATGATTATATATAATTCTATATAATTATATATGATTATATATAATTCTATATAATTATATATGATTATATATAATTCTATATAATTATATATGATTATATATAATTCTATATAATTATATATGATTATATATAATTCTATATAATTATATATGATTATATATAATTCTATATAATTATATATGATTATATATAATTCTATATAATTATATATGATTATATATAATTCTATATAATTATATATGATTATATATAATTCTATATAATTATATATGATTATATATAATTCTATATAATTATATATGATTATATATAATTCTATATAATTATATATGATTATATATAATTCTATATAATTATATATGATTATATATAATTCTATATAATTATATATGATTATATATAATTCTATATAATTATATATGATTATATATAATTCTATATAATTATATATGATTATATATAATTCTATATAATTATATATGATTATATATAATTCTATATAATTATATATGATTATATATAATTCTATATAATTATATATGATTATATATAATTCTATATAATTATATATGATTATATATAATTCTATATAATTATATATGATTATATATAATTCTATATAATTATATATGATTATATATAATTCTATATAATTATATATGATTATATATAATTCTATATAATTATATATGATTATATATAATTCTATATAATTATATATGATTATATATAATTCTATATAATTATATATGATTATATATAATTCTATATAATTATATATGATTATATATAATTCTATATAATTATATATGATTATATATAATTCTATATAATTATATATGATTATATATAATTCTATATAATTATATATGATTATATATAATTCTATATAATTATATATGATTATATATAATTCTATATAATTATATATGATTATATATAATTCTATATAATTATATATGATTATATATAATTCTATATAATTATATATGTGATTCCATATATAATCATATATGATCATATACAATTATATATGATTATATAGAAACATTTTTTCTCGGGAGGATTTAAAAATTTTAAAAATTATAAAAATTTATATTTTTTCACTTTCTAACACGAATAACTTTGAAATGAAATAACTTATTGAATCTCTGTAAATTGCATCTGAAAGCTCTACATTAACTTTAATTTTAGTACCATATCATATGTGTAGTCTTAAAATTATTTAGAAATGCCAGGATTTTAAAATTTTCAAAATTATAAAAATTCATATTTTTTCACTTTCACACCCAAATAACTTTGAAATTGAGTAACTTATAAAATATATCTAAATTGCATCTGAACGCTCTTTAAATAAGCTTCAACTCGAGTACCATATCATATGGGTAGTCCTAAAATTAAGTCCTATTCCGCAGTAGCAAAATAACTTTACTAGTTATATTAATTATTAAATTTTATTAATTTTAAAAAATTAACTGTAGATACACTGGGCAATTTAGAGCATTCACAATGCCCAGAATTTATTAAAAATCTTAATAAAATTAATACACTGGGTAATTTGGAGCATTCATATTGCCCAGAATTTTGAATTTTAGTTTTGAGGAGGTTTTTGCAATAATTCTAATGATTTAAATAATTTAAACATCTAATTTCTAATGCATTTGAAAATTATAAGATTGTGAGGGTACAGGGTTTGAGTTTTTCGACGGATGGTAAGGATGTTACGTCGAATTAATTTTATTTTCATTTTGCCAACTTAACTTTTTATTTTACGCCATTTTGATTGGGTAATTTGCGTCATACCCAATAAATTAACGACTGACATAATATAGGCTAGATTTTTCAGTTAAATAAATTAATAAATGAAGAAATAAAATTTTACGAAGAATGAAAAATTATTATTAAATAGTGTGGACAGATAAATACTAAAGACATTCCGGATATAATTACGTCATAATCTTCCACTAATTTCAATTTTATTTATTTGCAGGAGAAAATAAATTTTTTTACAACTTAAACTTCCTCTAAATAATCAAACTTGGACACTCAGTCCAAAGACTTAACCCTAAAATTACAAACTTACCGTGAGATGCATTTAGCGCTGGTAAGGATTACATTACTCGTAATTGGAGTCCCGACGCAGTGGTAAAATCTGTTAACATATATCCCGTTGGTGTAGGATTCATCAGCGAACCGCCAGACGCTTCTCCATACTTCAAGATAAAGAGTCGAGTCGCGAACTGAAGACGCACAACAAAATGGCAGACACGCGGCCATCACAAGCAGAACTTTCACCAGTATCCTCATTTTTATTCAGCTTAAAAAATTACTATCTAATTTATCAATTACTATAAAATTAATTAATTGACAAAATTTTTTTCAATAATTATTAAATATTTTTTTGATGGGTCAAACCCAATAAAATTATTCTTCGCGTCGGATAATTAACTGAAGCCGCTTGCTCTTTGTTCCACGTTATATATTTTTCAATAGCTTTGTTTCTACGTGGCCTCGCTTCTTCTCATAAATCATAATAATAACTTACAATTCACAATTTTTTAAGTGTAATTAACTAATGGCTTATTAACGATCCGAATTTACTAGAACTTTAGATTAATAGCCGTGGAATTTTTTTTTTTTTAAGTTAAGGTATTACACTTCACTCGAGAAAAATTTCAAGAATTAATTTATATTTAGGGTACTAAAATTTTTGATTATATTAAAGAGATCATTAATAAGCTTATCAATTATTTCTTAAAATATATTTATCGTAAAGTCGATAGGTAATAACGCGGGTTTATTTTTGTAATTGATTAGAGTAATTATTAATTTTATCGATATTTTATAAAAAGTCATATAATTTTTTTATTGAGAAAAGCGTTTAAAAAAATTAAATATTTTTTTATCTTTCTGAATTGTTGATAAAAATTAAAAAGTATTTTGGAGGTATTAAAAAAAATTTAGGAGTTTTGAATGATGGTTATAAATGTGTTCATGAATCAAAATTTTAGTATTATTTGGCGATTAAAAAAAATTTTATAATTTAAAATCGTTAAAAATGGTCCTAAGAAATGGAATTCAGATATTGTTTAGTGATTTAAAAGTATTGTTAAAAATTAATTAATTTTGAATTGTACAAATCGCTCCAGGAATCAAAATTTAGCAATTTTAAAAATTTTTAAAGTTCGGTTTAAAATTTTAATATTTTATAATTCTTCTAAGCCGACTTATATAATAAAATTAAATTATTATTAAGTGATTTGAGAGGATTTATTTTTATAAATTTTAGATTTTCGAATTGTTCCAATTGTTTCAATAAATTTAAAATTCTAATATTATTTTGTGATTTTAAATTATTGACAAGAATTTTAAAAATTAAATAACTTCAAATCTTATCAAATCTTTGACTCACGGGTGAGTTGAAACTTTTTTAGAATTCAATGCTCAAAAATTGAAAATTTAAACTTCATAGAAAAATTTGAAAGTATTTAAAATTTTTTACTTTTAATCTTACTAGTCTTTTACTTTTTAATCTTTCCAAATCGCTTTTTTTAATAAGAAATTTCACTTTTTTGAGGATAGTTTTAGAAATTTTCGATGGACAGTGTTTTCAGTAAAAAATAATTATATTTATTTATTTATTAATTTAAATAAACAAACCCAATAGCCAAAAGTATATAAAAAAAACAATTTTTGATATATAGCAAGATGACTTACAGCTAACATAGTGATTTCATATTTAATAGAATATTAATATTAATTATAAATTTAATAGATAGCTTGCTAAATGAGTAGAGCATTGATGTGTTAGCAATTGCAAACAAAAACAAAAAAATAATAGTGATTAATAAAATTAAAGAGAAAAAAAATAATAATATTTATAATAAGAATAACAATAATTATTATTATTATTATAAACGGTACAGCAATTGCACATGATTAATACCAGTAAGTCGATAATTTGCCAAGTGATGTTGTTATACTGCCATTAAGTTAGTTTGACAGCACCAGATTTAAATAATTATTTGATAATTAGTAACAAGATTGTTTTGTTCAAATTAAAGCAAAATTATAATTATAATTATAATTATAATAAAGCAAAATAAAATTATAAAAGTATATGAAAACTTTTAGAAATGCACAAAAAGCTCTAAAATTCTAGTTTTTAAATTTCTTTAAAGAATTCTTGAAAAAATGGAAGAATTTAAAAATATTTACAATTTTTTATTTTTAATCTTACCAAATCTCTTTTCTTAAAAGTATATTCTGTAAATTAAATAATTCAATCTTTGAACTGATGCGTGTCAATGTTTCTGCATTTATTGAAAAAATGATCAATTTTTTCAATTATCAATTATTTAATGGAAATAAAGGACGTAAGAACCTCAATTTCTTTCTACGAAAAAATAAAAGTAATTCAATATCTAATGACAAAATTTTATATAATTATATCTAATATCTCTAAAAAAATTTACAATTAATTGTAAATATATATAATTATATATAAATATTTTTTCTCGGGTTTTTTACTATTATAACACAATAAAAAATTATTCTCTCATCGGAAAGCTTCAATTGTGTCTTTAAATAAACTTATCACTTAAATTATCATTTACAAAGCACTAATGATAGCAGCAATCAGTGTAATAGCTATTATTTTACTATTAAAAATTATTAAATACGCACCTTTGTCGTCATTTATTAATTTATTTATTTTATAAAAAATTTACGTATTATTATTAATATTATTTAAAAGATTTTTCACATTTTTTATTAATTTTTTTTTTTTTTTTTTTAATTTTGTTTAAAGTCGCATAAACTACTAAGGTCATGAGCGACTACGGTAGGGGGTAAACTTTTGAGATTGGAACTCGTTTGTATTTCTTGGGCTGAGCAGAATAATACACTTAAATATTGAAAATATTCATCATTGGTGTACGCCGGATTCGAACCCGGTCCAATGCTTTGATAGCGAGGGCCGGATCCGATAGGCTACTGCGCGCCTTTTTTATAATTATTTACTTTATTTTTAAAATAATTCATTCATTTAATTATTATAATATTTTAGCCATTTCTTCAATAGCTTTTTTTTTTTTTTTGGTAGCTTTAGCTTGTGATGCACCCAGTGCATCCAACAGGTGACGCTACCTGTTATTAGAGCGCTATCTATTATGAGAGCGCGAATTCAAACGAAATATTGAAACTAGTAAATATTAAATGATGTATATATAAGTGAAGGCCAACTTTCAGGCCGATCGGCTGAAGTAAATATATATAGATATAGAGAAAATACATGTTAGTGTATAAGGATCATTTATATGTAGTAGAAAATGTATGTATTTATATATTCCTTAGAGTGGATGTATGTGTGGAAGTTATGGTGGGAGAAGAACGGAGTTTGAAGATCTTCGGAAAAACTATGTAACGACACTTCTCATCGAGAGATTAGATTGCTAAGATCACGTCATTGTAAACCTCAATTTTATATTTTGAAGCTTTTAATATTTTGTCAACTCGAATAATAAATTGGAACCAACTAAATAATTTTGATCAAAATTAAATTACGTCTAAATAGAATTCTTTTATTTGAAATTATTCCTTTCCCGCACTGAAACCGAGTATTTTAATACTCCCGGGCGAAAGAACTACAGTAAGTAAAGTTTTAAATAAATAAAAATAACATCCACTAGATGGAAGCATAACAAGCTCTAAAAAACTTGAAAAATCAGAAAAATCCCAATGGCACCCGAGGTACCAACTTTAAAAAATTAAAAAAATTATAAATTTGAACCAATTACCAACTTCAGAATTCTCTCTTACCAACTATAAAAAAATATTCTCGGTGTAGTAGAAATCTATGCTACTAACCTCACAGATGATCACACCCCTCATGAACCTCCAAAATAATCAAAACAATCCAACACTTCAAGACAACTCGGGCCTAAAAAATAAAATTAAATGACAATAATAAAGAAGAATAATTAAATTAAATAAATAAGTAATTAAAGAAATAAAAACAACTCACCAAGATGGAAGAAGTTGACAATATTATTATCCATTCCTTGCGTCAAATCGGCTGGTAAGTTAAAAACTTTTTTGTTTATACAAAATTAATCAGAATCTGAAAATAATTTTTTGTATTTATTAATGAAAATAAAATTAGCAGACAGTTTTATAATACTAAAGTTAGCTGACGGTTTTAATTTTTTAATTTTTTTTCAATAATTAAATTAGAACAAAAAAATATTTTTTAAAAATTGCACTTTCAGTTTTTCAAGTTTTTTACAAATGAAATTTTTTTTTTATTTCTTTATAATAATTTTTTCTATAAAAAAATTCTAAAAATTTTCAGATGTCGGGTAACTTAATTTTCATGACAATTTTTGGAATTTTTCTTATTAAAAAAAAAAAAATAAGAATAACATAAAGAAGATTTAAAAAGATGATTTTAAAGTTAGCAGTCTTAACAATTTTTTAATTTTATTTAACAAAACAAATTTGTTTTGAATAATTATTTTTAAAAAAATTGCAATTTTAACTTTTTAAAATTTCTACATGTCAATTTTTTTTCCATAATTTATTTTTGTTAAAAAATGTCTGCTAAATTAATTTTCATTTTGAAAAGCTAAAAAGGCAATTTTTTAAGAATATTTTTATGACACTGGTTGACAAATATTAAAAATTTTTTTAGAATTTTATAGCAATTAAATTATTATGAAAAAAATATAATTAAAAAATTTCACATGTGAAAATTAATAAAAATTACAAGTGAAAATTTTTAGAAGTATTTTTTTATTGTAATTTATTTTAAAAAAAATTTTTTAAATTGACAACTTCATTGTTATTTTTTAGTTCTAGTTGGGTTGATAAAAAAAAAATAAAAAAAACTTTTAAACAGCTGATTTTAATATCATATTTATTAATTAATTATTTTATATTTATTCTTCAGTGATATAGATGAAGAAATAACAAATTTAAATAGATTTACCACTGAGTTGACTGTGAACGCAGCAGTGAGATGCTTGGAGATAATAAAGCCGGGAGTTGAATTGTCCAGGACACTGCCTGTTAATATGGCGGCAAGATTTCGCACCGGTGCTACTCTAGCACAAATATGTTCGGTAATTTAATTATTTAGTAAAATTGATTTTTATTATTACAATAAATAGCAATTTGCAGTCACTTCGTGACTGCAGAGATATACGGATTAAGAATAAGAAAATTATGGCTTAATGATTTTTTGATATTTCTAATCACACTCGTAGTTTGGGTACTTTTTAAATAAATTTTGAAAATAATAGTGCTATCACAGGATCAATTACAAATAATTCAAAGGACAAATGTGACGGAACAAATTTATAGAACCAACTAACTATTAAAAACTCCTTCAAAAACTTGACATAAAAAATTGACTACTGAAAAAATATATAAAACCAAAAGGCACTAATTATTATCAAGACCTTTCTGATGAAACCAAATTAAACTATAAAAATTCCTTTAAAAATAATAATATCCTCGTCACAAAATTTTCCTTACTCTCTTAATTATTTAAATCATAAATGACTATCGCTGAAAAAGTATCAAGACCAATTTACGATAAAGATATACCCGTTAAAAAATTTTTCTTAGCCTCTTAATTATATAAATTAATTTTTGACATATAACAACATTGACATGTACAAAATAAAATAAATAAATCCACAGATTCGGTAGAATCTGGCGCCAAGTTCCGTTCAAATCCGTTGTCAACGGAGCGCCAGACTACCGACTGGCGGTTTACTGTAAGCAGAACGGTATTTTGAGGTTGCAAAATTTTATTTAATTCTACGGTACTTTTTTTTTTTTCTAAATTGTATATTATAACAGTAATTCATACTTTATTTTACTGTTATTAATTAATTATATTCACTTATAACAATTAATCTACTTGAAATTACTAAATTTGATCAGCACAAACTATAGCAACGCAAAAATTTCGATCCTGACTTTTTTTCGATGGGCAAAGTGATCTGCCACAGACTAAATAATTCGAGAATGCATAGTAATCCTTCATTAAATGGGAAACTACAGTTAAAAAAAGATATTTCACAGCTTGCATCTACACCCGCCAGGGTGCGCTGGAATTATTTTTACATAAACTGTAGCTTCAAGGGAATAGTTTGCTATAAAAAAAGCAGCCAACGCGAGATTTAAGTTGGTACCAATTGTAAATTTTTATTATAATTACAAAAAATACTAAAATCCGAACAAAAACAGTTTCACTGTAAAAAAAATCGCGCCAAGTCCACGTTCATAAGACTATTAAGAAAAAAAATTAGTTTTTTCTTTACAAAAAGATGATATAAAATAAAAAAATAAAAAAATCCAAGTAACCGATATGATTGCTTATGATTTTCGGAAATTAAAAAAAACTTTTTTGTAAATTTAAAAATTAAAAAAACAATTTTAGAACGTACTTGGTGTGCGTCATATTGTGCATTTCAATTCTTTTAAAGTCCTAGTAAATAGATTTTACAAATTTAATTAAAAGTAAAATATTTCGCAACAACGCACACCAAATACGTTCCAAAATTGTTTTTTTAAATTTTTAAATTTACAACAAAATTTTTTATAATTTCCGAAAATCATAAACAATCATACCGGTTACTTGGATTTTTTAATTTTTTTAATTTTTTTATTCTATCTCTTTTTGTAAAGAAAAAACTAATTTTTTTTTCTTAATAGTCTTATGAACGTGGACTTGGCGCGATTTTTTTACAGTGAAACTGTTTTTGTTCGGATAAATGACACTTAAGTTAAAAGACGTGTAAAAATTTTTGATTTTTTTTTATTAATTAAATTACAACTAAAAAGATATTTCTAAAAAATTGCACTTGTAGTTTTTAAACTTTTTTACATGTGACAATTTTTTTTATAAATTGTTTGATTGAAATTTTTTCAATAAAAAATATATAAAAATTTTGAAATGTCGGCTAACTTGATTTTCATACAAATAAACAAATTTTGTTCATTGCGAAATTCGAATCTATTTATAACTACTTCGAAAACTTATCATAATAAATTAACTACTTTAGAAAAGCATATGAAACATTGAAAAGGTACTAATTCAGGTCTTGACCTTTCTAATTATAGTAAATTTAATTTAACAAACTCATTTTATCCTAAATACGCCAAAGATAAAATTTTTGTTATTCTCTTAATCATATAGATGATTATAAAGAATTTGACAAAACTAGAATTTTGTTTAAAGAAATTTCATAATTAGATTTTTAGAGTTTTTGTGGGCATTTTTAAAAATTTTGATATGATTATTTTTCACTGAAACACTGCCTGTCGAAAATTTCTAAAACTATCCTCAAAAAAAATTAAATTTCTTAATAAAAAAAAAGCGATTTGGAAAGTTTAAAAATAAAAAATTTCAAATTCTTCTACGAAGTTTAAATTTACAATTTTTGAGCATTGAATCCTTAAAAAGTTTCAATTCACCCGTAATTCAAAAATTTGATAAGATTTGAAGTTATTTAATTTTCAAAATTCTTGACAATAATTTAAAATCACAAATTAATATTAGAATTTTAAATTTGTTGAAAGACTTGGAACGATTCGAAAATCTAAAATTTATAAAAATAATCTTAAATCCTCTCAAATCACGTAATAATAATTGAATTTTATTAAATAAGTCGGCTCAGAAGAATCATAAAATATTAAAATTTTAAACCAAACTTTCAAATTTTTTAAATCTCTAATTGTTAAATTTTGATTTTAAGTTATAAAACTTCTCAAATATCTCAAAACTTTTTTTAATCGCTAAATAATACTGAAATTTCAATTAATGAACACATTCATTACCATTTAAAACTCCTAAATTTTTTTTAATACTTCCTATTAATTTAAATTTACAGGATTTGGGGTATCGAGGAGATATCGGCTACCAAACATTCCTTTACAGTTCCGAGAGTGACCTAAGAAGGGTCTTTATGTTCCTGATAGACAAGCTGCCAAAAGACAGCGAAAAGGAAGCAAATGGGTTGCTGCTGAGCAGGTACGACGAGCTGGAACGAAAAGTAGGGAATATTTTGGTCCAACAATTTTCCAGGGCATGGTTGCCCCATTACTGTCACAAAGTTCTCAGTGGAGGCCACAGGAAAATTCCATTCCGGAGTGTCGATGTTGAAGTTATTTCTCTAAATGCTGATGGTAAATATCCATAAAAATTTTCACTAATTATTCAAAAGTTACTTTCTATTTTTTAATAATTTAATATCAAACTTTAATAGAAAAAAAATAATTATCTACTGTACACTAGGTACAAGAATGAATTAAAAAAATAATTTAAATAAGTTAATTATAAAAAATTAATTTTATTTACAATTCAATTGTTAAGCTCGTCTCCGACGTATTTGTATGATAAAATAAGTTTTTTTATATTAAATTTAGATTAAATGGAAAGTTCTTGACCTTAATAATTTGTCCAGATAACTTTTAAATTAGAAATGATTTTTTAAATTTGAATTTTGGCGGGAGAGTGACGTAGTTCTGTATCCGGTGCGCAACGCCATCTTACAGAAAATTAAAAAAACTTTGCTAAATCTGGGAATTTTTAAATGTATAATTTAATTTAAAAATTTTAATTTATTTTATTAAATAAGTAAAAATCATCAATTATTAAATTGTTCAAATTATTTTAAATTAAGATAAAGAATTTTGACGAATATTGGGAAGACTGAAAGTAAAAAAAAAATTTTAACATTATTTTGACTTCCCTTGAGTGGAAAATTTTCAATTTTCTTAACGGGAAGTTAAAAATTTTAATGAATTCAGCTGATTATTCCTTCTAACATTGTTCTTTTTGTTTTATTTATTTGTGTAAATTTTATTTTACAGATAATGTCAAAGATTACCAAACACGCTACCAATTGGCAATTAATGAACAATTACCGAGTCCTAATACTTTGATGCCTTCAGTAATTTCCAGTGATTCAAGAATTTTATACTCTAAGCCTTGTGATATTTCTCCACGCATTGACTGGCTTAATTCTAAATTAAATAATAATAATATTAATATTAACAATAATGATAATAATAATACAAGACTGATGAGCAGATTTTCGCTGAATGAGCGACTGAGTACCGAAAAAACAAAATTAAATAAAACTCCTGAAAAAATAAAGAGCAAAAATGAAAATAAAGAAATTGAAGAGCCAAAAAATGAAGAAAGAGAAGAAGAAAAAAAAGAACAGTCCGAGTTGAAAGTTCTAAAAGCAGAGTGCGACGCCTTGCGGTCAGAGTACGAAGAACTGGTGGCAGAAGTTGGGAAACTGGAGGGGCAGCTGGTAGAGGAGAGGGGGAAGGTGCAGGAGGCAGAAGTGAAGTTCGAGAAGTTCAAGGAGGAGCACAAGGTGAAGAATAAAATATACGAGCTGCTGGATGACGGGGAGAATAATGTGAAGAAGCTTGAGGAGGCTATTGAGGCGGGTAAGGGTAAATTGGTCAACTTGGCAGAGCAATGGGAGAAGCATCGCGCGCCGCTGATCAATCAGTACCGGGACCAAAGGGACAAATTTTATAAACAAGCTGTGAGTAGAAGGGTTTAAAGTCTTTTGTAAGTATTTAGATGATATTCTGTGTGACTTTGAAACGGTTGGTCGAATTAATTCGCGGATAAGGACCTTTTTTGTAGAACAAGAAATTTCTTTTGAATCTAAGGGAAAATTTTTCAGAAATCAAAACTATTTTTTTTGGATGATCACAATATTTTTCAGTTTAATTTATTTTAATAGTTAGTGTAAATATAGATTTTTTCTAATAATACTAAGAAAAGCAATCTGACGATTTTTCGGTTTTTCAACCAACAAATTAAAAAAAAAAAATAAAATGTACCCAAGTATATCTGGAAGATTAAAAAAACTATATGTAGGGTAAACGCACCAATTATTGACCGAAGAAACCCAATAAATGACCGACCGTTCTCCAATTAATTGACCGCTCAAATAATTATAAGTAATTTTGTAAACTACATGTATGTAATTAAATTTATGCAGTACTTTTGAAGTATTAACGACATCTTTAACAAAACTAAACATACAATATAATTTTAAACCGTACTTTTTTATAAAATAATATAAATAATAGCAATAATTAACATAAAGTCACATTTCTTTAGGTCACAAATAATCACAAATTCATTTTTACGACGATAATTCTTCTGATTCACTTGAAATTTTTTTATTCTTCTCCTTCTTTTTTTCAATTAAAGCTTTTTTATTAGCTTGTAACTCTTTTTTATTTTTTTAATTGCTTAGCAATTTTTTCTTCTAATAATTCGTACTTTGATATAACCGTTCACTAAAAAAATTAGAACAAAATAAAATTTAATAATCAAAAAAGATTCTAAGTATTATTTTAATTATAAATATACATTTTATAATGATTATTTTTACATTTACAAAATATTGAATGACTAAAGTACTTTAAACACTTGACAGATTTAATTTTGAGGTGAAGAAGTTAGTATTATAAATATACGGTCATTAATTGGATTGTAATAAAATCAGAGGGTCTAATAAATGACCGAATGAATTTTTTACTGGGTAAAGGGCTTCTGACGGATCCAATAGTTGACCGGTCTTAAAATAATATTAAAACTTATAATTTAACTTTATTTTTTCAAAAAAGTTGGAATCTGATCTTTAATTAACATAATAAAACTAAAATATTTTATATTATGCCGATAAATATCACTAAATTAATGATGAAATGCACTCACTCTCCAATTGTACGCTAGTTATTTTTGACCGCTTTATGGCTGGTTGCGTTGTAAACAAACTCAGAATATTTTTTTTAAGCTATAATCACTGCGCAATTAATTGCGTAATTTTTTATTATGATGATTAAATGCCATATTGTATTATTTTAATACTTTAAGAAAAAAAAACCCTTGTAAAATATTAATTAATTAACTTTTTTATACATCGGTCAACTAATTGGTGACCGGTCAACAACTGGTGCATTTACCCTACTAATTTTTTAAATATTACAAGCCAATAACTTTTGTTATTAAAAACAAAACCAAGTTTTGAAATCTAAATATAAAAATAAAATTATTTGAGTAATTAAATAGTCGAGTGTAAGATTTAAATATATTATCAACTATTTAAAAAATATATATCGGTAATCAATAATTAAAATAATAACTGTTATTTAGTTGTTGAGAGATTTATTTCCAATAATTAGCTAAATAAACTTTTATTAATCACATATACCATTTATTATTAACGATTACTATATTATCATAAATAAAAAACCATTTAATTGTTTAGTAATGTATCTGAAATTTAATAAGACAATTAAATATAAAAAAAATGGGGTGGTAAAGTTGTCAAATAAATTATCATAAAAAAAGTAATGAATATTATTTTTTGAGGTAAACTAGTATCGGATCTACGGTAATCTTTTCGATAAATCGGTCAACTACTCTCATTTTTCTGTTATCTACTTCATCAAATTAATATCTTTTTTTATAATAAAATTTAATTTCCCGATTAATTCGGAATGATAAGATAAATTTCAAACAATATTCTTCAAGCTTATAAATTCACTATAAATTTTAATAAGTACACAGAATATTATTTAAATATTTACAAGACAATATTTTTTTTTTCTGTCAACCTTTACAAATTCTTTTGATTATTCTTTTTTAAATTTCAGAGTACAAGTCAGAAAAAATTGGACGAACTTCGCCAGCTGAAAGAAACAGAGCGCGAGTTATTAGAAGAATGTCAGCGGAAGGACCAGCAATACACCCAGTTGCTATCCGAAGTATCAAAGCTCCCTAAGGATATGAACCGCTCCGCGTACACGCAGCGGATTTTGGAGATAATTAACAATGTGCGCAAGCAGAAGGACGAGATTGACAAGGTCCTGGCAGATACAAGGGAAATTCAGAAGGAGATTAATATTCTGACCGGAAAAGTCGAGCGGTCTTTCACTGTCGTGGATGAGCTGATATTCCGCGATGCTAAGACTAATGAAACTTCGAGGAAAGCTTACAAGCTGCTGGCTACTTTGCATACTGATTGTGCGGAGCTGATTAATCTGGTAGAGGAGACTGGGACTGTTGTCAGAGAAATTAGAGATCTGGAAGAACAGGTAATTTTTTATTTTAATTACAAAAAAAGATGTTTTAGGGGCATTCCATAGTGACTGGTGGGACATTTGACTCTGAAATTCCATCAATTATAAACTATAATTATGTGACTGAAACTTATACTATAGTAAAATTTATCTTATAATATAGAAGAATAACTAATTAACAACATCTCTTTGTCAAAAACCTCGATTACTTTTTAAGTTTCTCGTAATTATTATTTGACTGAATGTGACTGGTGGGGCATTGAAAAATCCTTCTCTCTTACCAAAGGTATACTTAAAGTCTAATTTCAGTTCGACCACTAAACTTTTAAAAAATACTTCCCTCTCAATACAAAGTTTATCCTACAAACATTGAATATTATGAAGAATTAGACTGATTACCTACGTAGAAATAATTAAAAAAATTTTTTTTATTGTGACTGGTGGGACAGGCATTTGTGATTGGTGGGACAAGTACAAAATGTCTACATCAAGTTGTTTATTAAAAAGACTATTATATTATTTCAACCTTAGAAACATTATTGTTTATATATTTAACTATAAATTACTTAGGATAATTAAAAAACGGAAATAAAGGATTTAGCATGCTGACAACTTGATCTTGATAAACTTAGGTGTTAATTAATAACGAACATAAAAAAATTTGTTCTTAAAACTATAATAATAAATATGTTAGTTAATAACAAACATAAAATAAATTTGTTCTTAAAACTATTAAAACAACATTTGACCAGGATACAAGTTAGTACGGCTGAAAAGTTATTATCTAAAATAATAGTTTTAATGAGATAATACACGGAAAGAACAAGATTATACTGGATATAATCCCAGATTATACTGAGTGAAAAAAAATTTCAGATAGTAGCTAGTATAATTCAGATAAAAATGAGTATACTCCAGATTACAATGAGTATAATCCAGATATTATTCAGTATAATCTGGATTATACTAGCTACCATCTGAAAATTTTTTTCGCCTCAGATGTCACTGAGTATAATCTGAGATGGTATCCAGTGTCATCTTGTTCTTTCCGTGTAGTAATCTAAAATTTGCTTTTATTATTTATCGGCAAACATTAGTCACGGATTATTAAAATAAATTTTTTTTTTAATTTCAAAGTGTTTTCTTGAAGGAAATTTAATTCTGAATAAAAAAAGTCCTTATCCGCGAATTAATTCACCAAACCGTTTCAAAGTTACACAGAATATCATCTAAATACTTACAAAAGACTTTTAACCCTTCTACTCACAGCTTGTTTATAAATTTTGTCCCTTTGGTCCCGGTACTGATTGATCAGCGGCGCGCGATGCTTCTCCCATTACTCTGCCAAGCTGACCAATTTACCCTTACCCGCCTCAATAGCCTCCTCAAGCTTCTTCACATTATTCTCCCCTCCATCCAGCAGTTCGTATATTTTATTCTTCACCTTGTGCTCCTCCTTGAACTTCTCGAACTTCACTTCTGCCTCCTGCACCTTCCCCCTCTCCTCTACCAGCTGCCCCTCCAGTTTCCCAACTTCTGCCACCAGTTCTTCGTACTCTGACCGCAAGGCGTCGCACTCTGCTTTTAGAACTTTCAACTCGGACTGTTCTTTTTTTTCTTCTTCTCTTTCTTCATTTTTTGGCTCTTCAATTTCTTTATTTTCATTTTTGCTCTTTATTTTTTCAGGAGTTTTATTTAATTTTGTTTTTTCGGTACTCAGTCGCTCATTCAGCGAAAATCTGCTCATCAGTCTTGTATTATTATTATCATTATTGTTAATATTAATATTATTATTATTTAATTTAGAATTAAGCCAGTCAATGCGTGAAGAAATATCACAAGGCTTAGAGTGATTCTTGAATCACTGGAAATTATTGAAAGCATAAATTTTGATTTTTAAAAAATTTTTCAATGTTTTTAATTTCAGATCGACACTGAGTCCAAGAAAAACATCGGCGCCAACCTGGAGCGCATTACCGCCGACCTGGAACAAATGCGCCAAGAAACAGCGTCTCTGACAGCACAATTAGAAAAGAAGAGGCAGGCAAAAGCTGCCGAAGTTCCTCAAAGTGATTAAAAACACAATTAAAAATTATTGTAACAATTATTATTAATTTTATAAATTACAAAAGTGTTAATCTTTATTCATACAATCTAGCGCCCTCTACGGGCAGCACGCGACTTAATTTCCGGAGGCACGTAGTTGTCGTCCTCGTCGATCTTTTTCTTGGACGGAGGCCCGTACATTTCGAGCTCTCGCTGGAGCTTGTCCTCGATCTTGAGCTCGATTTCTTCCTCGTGGTCGAAGAAAGTTAGCAAGCGCTCCTCTTGCTTCATATCCTCCTTCATCTTCTTCACCTTCTCCAACCTTGCCTGCTTATCCAGTTCATCCAGTTGACGATGCAGTTCAGCCATACGGACCTCCTCCCATTTTTTAAAGGTCTGAAATAAATTATCAATTTTTAAAAATTAAAAAAAAAAAAAATTCACTTAAGGAGATCCACGCGAAGTAGTTAAATTTTTAAAACTTCCTGAAAATTTGTAAATTCAATCTATGTAGCCTAATAATTAATTAAAAAAAATTAAAAAACAGTTGATTTCCGAGATATTTAATGAAATAATTAGGTTTGAAAATTGTAATTTTTACATGTAAGTAGACATTTCACCAGCCGTGTATTTGGTTAAGAATTTAATGCAATTAACGATTTAAAAAAAATTTTATTTTCATTGAATTTGATTGAAAATCAAGATGTATTACAAAAGTATTTCTACGTATTATTTTTTTATATACTTTCTTTACATTAGGAGGGTACTTGGATCTCCTTAAGAGTAGAAAAAAATTTTTGGGAAAAAAAATTTTAAATGGATCTTGTAGAAAATTTAGTCTAGTTTTTGAAACTAAGATTAAATTTTTTTAAGGAGGTTCGAGCGAAACTAATGTGAAAAATAATTTCCAACTTTGAGCTTTAAAATTAAGTATACATATAAATAAATACGTAATTTATCTAATCCCAAAATTTTAAAAAGATTCACCGTTTAGTTACTTAGATATTAAATTTCAAAAATCACATTTTTTATCTCCTTATACACGGGCTCTTATGGCGGACAAACTTTAGTCGAGACTTTAATTATCTTTTTCAATATTAACCTCCCAACTTTAACGGATAAAAAACTATACACAAGAAACTTGGATTATTGTAAAATATAAAAAAAATTTATTAATAATACATTACCGATATAATTTTTGAAATATTTAAAGTTTAATTTTATGTTTTTAACTCGTTTATCGTCAGCTATTTATTCGAACAAAGATTTGGCAACGTCGCGCCAACAGCTGAGAAAAAAGAAAAAGATAGAAATATAGTTACATAGAGAGAAATATTTAATTCATACATTCGTGCAAGTCTCTGTAATGGGTATAATCAAACGCGCTGTTGCCAAATCTGTTTATTTAATCCGGCAAGTAATAAATACGAAAGTAATTTTATTACTTTATTTTATTAAATAAGTAAAAATCATCAATTATTAAATTGTTAAAATTATTTTAAATTAAGATAAAGAATTTTTACGAATATGGGGAAGACTGAAAGTAAAAAAAAATTTCAACATTATTTTGACTCATAAGTTACGCTCGAACTTTATATTAAAAGTTGAATTACTTAAAAAAAAATTTTTTTGAATACTTCCAAATACTTATTAATTTTTTCCCCAAGTTAAAAAGATTAAAAAATATTACTATACCTCTATCTGCTCCTGAATCATTTTCTGTTCATGTTCCTCGACCGCCATTTTGACCTCGGCCGCCATTTTGTCAACCAAACTTCCCTCTTGACTCTTCAAACTCTTAACCTCTTCCCTGAGCTTCTCAAAGTCTTTCAAATCCTCGCCTTCCTTAAATTTCTCCTTCTGAAGCTTCAACTCCCCCTCCACCTTCTCCAACACCTCTTTAAAGACAGCGCCATCTACGCTCCGCCATTTCGCTACACACTCAGCGGCCATTTTGTGCTTGCCCCAGAGTACGTACCCGAGAAGCAGACAACTGCGTCCGAGAGTGTCGTCTCTATTTTTCGTGAAGAAGACCATCGTCTTCCCGGTGATGGCCTTCGGGTCCTTGAGATCAAAATGGTCGTCGAAGTAGGGGTTCCTGAGGTACCTGACCCGGATCTTGACGACCTCCTCCTTGGGGTCTACGACAGGCTCTGGAGGAAGCTCCCACTTGTCAAAGCCTTCCTCGAGGAGTTTTCCGCAGGAGTAAAGCGCCAGGGCGTTGCACAGCGGATTTTCCTTGTCCTCCTGGAGCATCAACAGGGAGGCGACCTTCACAGCTGCCACGTGGTTCGGGACCTTCAGCAGATGGTTCAGAATCAAGTTTATGGAGAAGTGGTCCGGGAAAATCCCGTAGTTGAGTCTGTCGTCCAGGATTGTCAGCAACTCGTCGATGTGGTTGTTGTCCAAGAAGAACCTGATCACCGCGTGGTGGGTCGATTCCAGGGTTTTTGATGTCTCTGCTGTCATTCGGAATCTGTGGAGGATGTCCATGAACTCCTCGGTCGCGTCTTCCTCGTTGATGGTGTGCGCGAAGAGGTCCACGTCCACTGCTGAGACTTTACCGGATGGAGACAGCTTTTTGTCGAGCTCCAGGAACAAGTCTCGGGGGTTTATCTTACTCAGAAGAGGAGATTCTAGGCGACGGTTCCACGCTTCGGTGCATGGGTACGCTGCTGAGAGGAACTTACGGGAGAATTGAGAGGATAGTGGGGATAACTTTTGGAGGGTTAGCAGTCGGTGTAGTGATATCATCTTGGTGGAAGTTTAGAGCATGACTTTCTTAGAAGGTACTGAAAGTTAAAAATTTTTAGGGTTAATTTTTAACGGGAAATTTAAGATTGTTAAAGGTAAATTAGAAATATTTATTTTTAAATATTTTTGATATTGAAATAGGGAGACTTTAAAATTTGTGGATTTTATTTAATTACGTCATTTGATATAGAAAATTTCTTTTAATGAATTGTAATTATTATTATTATTATTATTATTATTATTATTATCATTATCATTATTATTAGTTTAACTTTTATAATAATAATAATAATAATAATAATAATAATAACTAGCAACCTTGCAGTCACTAGGTGACTGCCGTGACTAGTGAATTATAAATAAATAAAATTTTAAATGATTAAATAATTACTTTTGTTGAATTGCACTGTACTTTCTTAAATATTGAAGTTTTTAAAGATATAAGCTCATCCTGATGTTGTGAAGAAGGTATTATAAGCGAGGAGGCGGAGGGGTGTCGTGAGCGACGAGAGACGGGACTCATCGACGGACCGAGCGAGCCATCGCTACCACGACCGCGTTGACTACCCGTGCCACGGCATTTATGTATATAAGTTTATTTTTGTTTATGAGTCTAATTATTTTTGTTAATTGTTTAAAAGTATTAATTGTTAAATTATCGAAACGTCGTTTAGAATAATTATTTGAACTAATTACTTTAACGAGTTTCGTTTTGAGTTTCGTTTATTTTTTGTTTCCGACGATTATTATTATAAATAATAATAATTTGTATATGATTTTATTTGTTTAATTATTTCTTTATTTAAAATTATTTTAAACGACGTCTTAAAGAAAAATGAATTTAGTAGTTCGCCACCGAGCGATAGATGGCGTCGACGGTTCGCTTGCAGATCAAACTTGCCGAGCTAAGATAACCGAATCCGCGTCACGATAATTTTTGTTCTTTGAAAGAACAAAAATTTACTTTATCTGAAATAATTAAGTGATTAAAATATTTCGAATAAATTCGAAATATCCAATTAATCATTTTTCAATGTCCCAGAAATTTAATTAGTATGGGAAATAATTTTGGTAAAATATTTATTTTTGTATGAAATTATTTTTCTAAGTCGAATTTGGATGAAAATGTAATTTGATGAAATTAATGTAATCTGATGAATTGTTTGAATGAATTTGATATTTAATTTTGAAAATTAAATTAAAAACTTATAAATTTTCGGGAATTTCCCGAAGTTCGACGGCGAGCGACAGGTGGCGATAATTTGCCAATACTTTTCGCTTTTATTAATAATTTTTGGGTTGATAAAGCCCAAAAATTATCCGCCGTTGAGCCACCTTTCTCTGGGTTTAATTTCTCTTCTGGAGACTTCTGGAAGAGGAATTAAAAGGGAGTTCCCCCCAGCCGAGTAGGTGGGGGAGAGGTGGATTCTATTCACTCTTCCTTTGGGAATCGCGAAGCAGGGCCTGCGGGGCGGCACTAGTCACCCGTCAGGAGCTGGGCACCAGAGGGCCGACGGAAGGAAATTAGCGACTTTGTTTAATGTTTTGGTTTATTGAAATAAAGAGGTTTTGTTTTGTTAATATTAATTAAATATCTAGTTTGATTAATTTAGAAATTACCCTCGTTAGAATCCTGGACTCCGGCGAGCTTAAAATCGAGCCGGGGGTAAAAATTGGTCAAAAAGTACCCGTGACAATGTTACACTCATCAACTCCTTTCATTTGAGTACCCACATCAATTTTTCATATATACATATATATAATATATATAAATATATGAAAAATTGACGTGGGTACTCAAATGAAAGGTCTCGATGAGTGTAATATCGGGATGAGCTTATATCTTTAAAATTATTATTAGTTGACAAGATAGCTAGTCAATTCTTAATTATTGACATTTTTTAAGATATAAGCTCATCCTGATGTTATACTCATCGAGACCTTTCATTTGAGTACCCACATGCATTTTTTATATATTTTTCATATATACATATATATATAATATATATAAATATATGAAAAATTGATGTAGGTACTCAAATGAAAGGTCTCGGTGAGTGTAATGTCGGGGTGAGCTTATATCTTTAAAAATGTCAATAGTTCGCAAGATACAAGGTCATTTCTTAATTATTTATCTGGAGATAGAGAATTTTTGAGTGCAGCCCAAATCCTTATCATAATAAATTGACTATCGGTGAGAATAATATGAAACCTTGAAATGGCACAAATTCAAGGAAAGACCTTTGTAATGACACTAAATTTCATTAAAAAAAACCGATTTTATCATATGACCATCCTGGACACAAAATTTTTCTTATTCTCTTAATAATATAGAAATATAAATAATAATAATATTAAATTTTTTCGAAATTTCACTATTTTATTATTATTATTTTATAATGACAATCATTTATAATTTTCTAAAATTTCTAACTAAAATTTTTCTTTCAATTTTTTTAACATAATTTAAAATTTGTTCGTCAACAAAAATTATGAAATTAAAGTCCGCAGTCACTTGATCATTTTGTAATATCTTTAAAACAATCAAATTTTTTTCGACAAAATTATTATTAATAAATTGCATTTAAAATTTTTAAAAATTTCTACACATTTATTTTGTTTCCTTATATTTTTTTTTGCGTAATTTATTTGTTACAAAAATTCTTAAAATTATCAAATATCTGCTAAATTGTTCTTCATAAAATATTCTAAAAAATTATAAAATAAATCTTAATTCCGGTATCATAGAGACTTCATAAAAATTAAGTTAGCCGTCATTTGAAAATTTTTAGAATTATTTCTTTTGAAAAAATTTAAATTTCATTCGTAAAAAAACAGTAAAAGCTTTAAATGTAATTTTTTAAAAAAATATTCTATTGTTCCAATTTAATAAATGAAAAAATAATATTTCTATTGTTTTTTAATTTCTGCCATCAACATTGACATTTTTATTAATCATAAACAATTAAATTAAAACTTCTAAATTCAAATCGTCATTATTATAACTTAAAAAATACTTACAAAATTTAATCTCAATTTTTTAATGTTAACAAAATTCAACCTGAAACAAAAACTTAAATCAATAAACTATTCTATTAGAATACTATTAATAGTTAATTACACTGAAATTAGTAGACACTTGACAATTTTTTAAATTTTTCTTAAAAAATAAACTAGTTCAAGAGAATTATTTAAAAAAATTGAATTTATATTTTAGAGCTTCTATAAATAAAATTTTTCTGCTACATAATTAATTTGTTAAAAAAATTCTAAAAATGATCATATGTCTCTCAATTCAAGTACCATAATATTACCTGTCAAATAAAATTATTGTTCAACAATATTAACTCACTTTTAGTCGATTGTCATTTATTTACTTTTTTCAGGCTCTGCCGAATTTGAGGTTACAATCCACTGCCTCCACACAGTGGATTTACACACGCATGTGAGCTATGAGAAGCTCTTCATTAAACATGTGATCCTAATACCATCCGGGTATCATAAAAGAAAGGAGGAAATTTTTTTTCTACACTTTTATTTTGGTGAGCAATTCAAATTTCTAACCTAGAAAACAAAAATTATTAATTATTTTATTTACCAAATTTTTTTTTTATTTTTCACAATCTCAAAATTCGATAATTTAAAAAAATTAACAATCCTATAAAAAATCTATTTAATCAATTAATTAACGAAATAATAAATAATTTATAAAATTAAATTAGCCGGGCATCTAAAAATTTTTTTAATTTATTTTATTGAAAAAATTTAACGAAAAAAAATTTACAATTTCAAAATTTGACAAATTGTCTGTGTAATTTTTTTAATTGATGAAAAAAAATGAAAACTAATTTTAGTATCATAAAAATTTTAATAATTTTGACAGTTCTTTAAAATTAATTAAATTTACTAATTTTCAATATTTATAAAAAAAAATTATTATTAATATTATTAACAAAAATGTTAATTATTATTCTTAATTATTTTTTTTCAATTTTCAGATTTATATTATTATTAAGAAATCTAACTTACCATCGCAAAAGAAGTTTATATACCCAAAATGGCGACATCGACTCCAAATACTCTCGACACTTGATGTTCTCCTGATATAATCAGAAATTTTCAAGCCCAAAATATGGCCGTTTGCCGCGTACCATCAATACTTTATTTTATTGGTCAGTATTTTTATTAAATAATTAAATTCCACTAATTTCTTGGTATTATTGAGCCTCAGTTCAATTCTTAACTTAAATTTCATCACTATTTTCTATCTTCACCATATTTTTTATAGTGTTACCTCAACAATATTACTTACTCCTAATAAAATTTAAAAGAGAAGTAAATTTTTGATAATATTTATTATTTATAATTAAATAATTAATTTTGTATTTTTGCACAAATCAAATAACAAAATTTTGCTTTTATTCACTGAAAACAATTTAAATAAATTTAATAAGCAAAATGGCTTACAGGTTTCAAAATGGCCGCTCAGAAATCTCCAACAGCGCCATCTGAATTTTGAAATTTAATTTAGAGTAAAATTGCATCAGCAAGTGGTTGATGGTGATGTTTGAGGAAATATCAGTTGCGAGTAGACCTTGAAAGGTTAACCACGTGTTTTTTATTGTTTGTTTTTTTTTGTTAGAGAAACTTGTTGAAGGATTTAATAAATATTATTGTTATTTTTTGTATAAAGGTGACAAATTTTTTATAAAAATATAAGTAAATTTAATTATTAACAATGTTGCCAAATTTTTTTTTCATATACAATTTTGACATTAAATTTTTTTATATAAAATTAATTAAATTTAATTGTTAATAATTTTTTGAAAAATTTTTTCTAAAAAAAAATTTTCTAAAATTGATATAAAATTTTTTTGAATTTTAAAATTAAAAATTATGACAGTAAATATATTATTATAAAATAATTAATAATTTTTTGTAATAAAAAAAACCAAAAATTTATGAAAATTAATTTAGCAGATATTTGATAATTTTAAGAATTTTTTTAAAAAATAAATTTATTAAAAAAAAAAATTGTAAAAATTTAAAAAAAAAATGCAATTTTTTTTAAATAATTTTTTTGAAAAAATTTATTTGTTAAAAAAAATTAAAAAATGGTTTTGTCTACCAACTTTAATGGCATGAAAAATTTTCTAAAATTAAAAAATTAAAATTTTACATTAAATTTTTTTTATAATAAATTAATTTAAATTTAATTGTTAATAATTTTTTGAAAAATTTTTTTTAATATACAAAAAATAAAAAAAAATTTTTGTAATAATTTTCTGAATTAAAAAAATAAAAATTTTGACATTAAATTTTTTATTTAAAAATTCTCTTATATTTTTGAAATTTTAGAAAATTGATGTAAAATTTTTTTTTAATTAGAAAATTTTTTACGAAAAAAAATTTTCAATAATTAATGAATTAAATTTTCAATCATTAATGAATTAAATTTATTAAAAAAAAAAAAAAAAATAACAATTTATTGCGGTAACAATTACCCAATAAAAACACCGATAACCCGGATAACCTTTACTCAATCCCTAGTAAACAATTTTACGTCATTTATAAATTTCAGAACAACAAGATGGCGATAACAAGACTCTACAAGTCATCGGGACTGTTGTCAGGTCAGCTGGCATCAAAACTAGCGTCCTTGCAGCAAGTGAATCCCTGCATAACCGAGCTGAGGACTGAAACCTGCTTCTACATCGAGAGTAGCCGGCCTTTGACCTCCGAAGACCTGAAGATAGTCACTTTCGCTCTCACGTCGCCCTTCGACCCGCAGTTGTTCCAGGAAACTCAACTATCAGCGCCACCTGGGTCCACTGTTGTGGAAATTGGACCGAGGCTGAATTTTTCTACGGCGTTCTCCAGTAACGCGGTCTCTATTTTCAAGTCCGCGGGGCTGAGTCATGTTTCTAGAGTGGAGAAGTCTACTAGGTACCTTGTTGATGTTCCAGAGAGTTCCGAGGATTTTGGGAGGATTATTGATGCTCTTCATGATCGGATGACTGAGTGTCGTTATAGGTTGGTAGAAATTTGGATTATTTTGTTTTCTAGTCAAAATTTACGATGTAGAAAATTGAACGATTTTTTTAAGCTGTGTGCAATTGTATGGAGTTCCATATAATTTTCTAATCAATTAATAGAGTTCTATAAAAATTTTCTAAGGCAACGAAAAATTATTTGGAGTTCCGCAAAAAATAATAGAACCACATTTAATTTCACGGAGTTCCACATCATTTTTCTAGGATTTTATAAAATTATGTGGAGTTCTATAAAAATTTTCTAGCATTATATAAAATTTTATGGAGTTTACAATTAATTATGGGGCCACGTGGAATTGGAGTTCCATATAATATTCTACATTTTCATAATATTAAATGGAGTTCCAGATATTTTTCTAGACTTTTATAAAACTATACGGAGTTCCATAAAATCTATTATAGACTTACAAAATAGATATGGAGTTCCTGAAGAATAATTGGGTTGCATAAAAAACATGGAGTTCCATTCAATGTTCCATAGTCATATAAAATTATTTGGAGTTCCGCAAAAATAATAGGACCCCATTTAATTACACGGAGTTCCACATAATTTTTCTAGGATTTATCAAATCATGTGGAGTTCGATAAAAATTTTCTAAGATCATGTTAAATTATATAGAGTTTACAAAAAATTATGGAGCCACGTGAAATCGGAGTTTCCTATAATTTTTTTAAGGTTTTATAAAATTATTTGGAGTTCTATAAAAATTTTCTAGCATCATATAAAATTATATAGAGTTTACAAAAAATTATGGGGCTCCGCCAAATCGGAGTTCCATATAATCTTCTAGATTTTCATAATATTAAATGGAATTCCATAAATCTTTTTTAGACTTATAAAATATATATGAAGTTCCTGAAAAATAATGGTATCGCATAAAAAATATGGAGTTCTATACAATGTTTTAAAGTCATAAAATTCATATGGAGTTCTGTATTACGATAGAAAAATGTTTGAAATCGCGCACAACTATTGACAATGTTATAAAATCATAGATAGGTTTGCGGAGAACTCTGTATAGTTTTTTTATAAATATAACTTTATATGGAGTTCTATATAATTATACATAACTGTAAAATATTATAGATAGAGTGTTTAGTATAATTTTACAAAAGTATATAAAATTATAGATAGTTTTTAGTTACTCTGAAAATCATTTAAAGTTTTATGTAGAACTACATATAGATTATATAACTCTAAAATATTATTTAGAATTTTCTACATTGTTTATAATTAAATAGAGTTCCATACAATTTCTTATCCTTATATAAAATTATGTAGAGTTCTATCCAGAATTTGATATAATTTTACATAGCAATTAAAAACTATCCAAAATTCTACATGTCATACTAAATGTTCATGGAACTTCATATTATTTTAGACGATTATGTATAATTATATCAAGTTCCATATAATTTCATGTATTTACAAAAAAGTATATAGAGTTCTATCCAAAAAATTTTATAATTTTATAAGATTAAAATAAAGTTTCATATAATTTTATATATTCATCCGAATTCACATGAAGTTCCATATAATAATCCATAATTTCTCCTTATCAAACCGATTATACAAAATTAAAAAATTCCACTAGGTCACCTATCGAGACATTTGACCATGGATTCAGACCCGAACCTTGGTTTGAGGTAGACATCCTCCAGAACGGCAGAAAAGCTCTGGAGGATGTGAACAGCAAACTAGGACTGGCCTTTGACGACTGGGATCTAGACTTCTACACAGACTTATTCAAAACCAAGCTCAAGAGGAACCCCACCAGTGTGGAATGCTTCGACCTCGCTCAGTCCAACAGCGAGCACAGCCGCCACTGGTTCTTCCGCGGTAAGCTGGTGATAGATGGCGTCGCGGAGCCTCAGACGCTCTTCGACATGATCATAGGAACCCAGAAGTCCAGTAACCCAAACAATGTCATCAAGTTCGCTGACAACAGCAGCGCCATCCAGGGATTTAAGGTTCCAACGTTGGTTCCAGGAACCACCTGGGAACCCAGCGCCTTTCAGGTTAGTTGAATTAATTTTTTATCGGTCTTCCAATAGAAAATTTGCATTAATTTTTTTTACTAAAAATTAATATATGAATAAAAAAATTGTTAAACAACAAGCACCTATTTTAATTAAATTACAACTTTTTTCAGATGACCGAAGTGGAGCGCCACTTGATTTTCACCGCAGAAACTCACAACTTCCCAACAGGCGTCGCACCGTTCAGTGGCGCCACCACTGGAACCGGCGGTAGGCTGCGCGATATTCAAGGTTGTGGTCGCGGCGGCCATTATATCGCAGGAACTGCTGGATACAGTGTGGGGAACTTGTTCATCCCCGGGTACAACCTGCCCTGGGAAGTTCCAGCAGATTATCCCTCGAATCTTGCATCGCCCTTGGATATAATTGTCGAGGCCAGCAATGGAGCTTCTGATTACGGGAATAAGTTCGGGGAACCGGTTATCTCAGGGTTCGCGAGAACTTTTGGGATGAAGACAGGGAACTCCAGGGTGGAGTGGATCAAGCCGATCATGTTTAGTGGCGGGTGTGGAACCGTTGATGCTGGGATGATTGATAAGAAGGTTCCTGAAAGAGGAATGCAGGTAAAAATACTTTAGTTTTCTAACCTCTTAGTTCTAGCTACTAATTTGTTAAAATAATTAATATCTTTTCTTTCGACTTTTTTCTGATGACCGATTTTAGTAACAATTAGTATTATTTCTTCCTAGTTATTAGTTTCTCAAGAAAAATTAATATCATTTCTTTTTAATTGCTGATTTGTTGGAAAAAATTACTATTATTTTTCTTCACATCTATTATATTATTACAACATATTGATTTTGTTTTGTTGCCTCATAATAGACACTTATAAAAAGAATTAAGAGATGAAAAAAAAAATTCCAAAGTTTTCGCGATTTTTCGAATAGCTGTATCTTCGTTAAGAATGGTCAAATCAAAATAGTAAAAAAGCAATTTTAAGCTTGAAATTTCTATTTTTGAGATCTGAGACGCCCACACTTCGATCTTGATCCAACAACCCAATAATCTTGCCTTGTGTGATACCAACCAATTCTATATACAGCAGAAATTCAAACTAGAAAAATTGAAATCTTTTTTATTTAAAGTGAAATTTTTCTTACGGCCTACTAGTACTTACCAAGTGATGGGAATATATAACTATTTATTAATTATGTAACACTTACTTACACTTATGGTTTATATATTTTTCAAAACTCAATACATAAAATACAGATTATTATTTTATAGTAATAACAAGTGATTTAGACTAGACTTAGTGATTTGAAGTGTTATACCTTTGAACTAGTTGCATGTTAGTCGCTGTATGTAAATGATAAAAAACGTGTTGAGTAGTCACTTTACATAATAATTGAAACAATCTCAATGAAGAATAGAAGATTACGGTGAGTTGTTACATCATGTGATGGAAGCGATTTTATCACCGTAAAAATATAAATGTCTTAGAAAAATAGAAACGCGTGGCCCGAATTTTCGCAAATAGCTTGAAGTAAGCAAACTGAATTATTTGCATTGTATCAACCTACAATCAAAACTTTTATACAGTAGAGTCTGTCTCACTTTAACTGAGAAGTACCCCAGATTCCAGGAATTGAATTTGGAGAATACACAGCAATAGATGCACGGAAAAAAGAAAACTCGAAAAATTACATTATAAATAGTAATAAGTGTCCCGTTGTATTCAAAACTAGAAAAATTACAGTTCCAAATAACATTTTTCTAAATTCAAATTTTGAATGTTAATTTTCAGAGCTTTTAATGTAAATATTACATTCTACAATGTAATTCTTAGAAAATCTGGAATAATTACAATTTGAAACTGTAATTTTTCCAGTTTTCATCACGGAGCGCCATTTTTTTTTTTCCGTGTGAGCCTTTTCTCTCTTTTTAGTGAAAAATGGTGAGGAGTTAAAGCTGGACGATAAAAAAGTTAGGGAATCTTCATTGTAATTTTAAACAACCAAGTACATGATTTAATCCGGAATAAATATATTTTAAATTCATTTTAAGTTTGTGGCGATGATCTATTCACAACTATTTTATTGGAATAAGCCGACCTCCGACGTACTTAACGCGTTTTTCAAGTGTTCGAATTATCGTTTTCTTATGTCGTTCTGCCTTATACTTTACAATTAGTATTTCGGTGACAAAAATCAATATGCCAAGTAAATAACTAAGAAAAATAAATAAGTAAATGCTTGCTAAATTTTCAAATTCGATATCATCATATTCTGTACCTGCATTTTCAACTGTTTCCTTAGCTTTGAACTTCTCAAAAATGTATTTTGATTGCTGCTTATCCCAGAAATCAAAAAGACCCATTTCTAGAAATTTCGAAGTTTCTTTCTGAGCTTTATCCTTGAGGACCCAATCTTTCTTTGCCCAATAAGATATATACGCAGGATTCAATTTTTTTTTTTTAGCCAAATGCAAGTTATAGTCATATGCAGCTTGTACTTGATAACTTTGTACAGCCAGACAAGCATTAGAACTATCATTTAAAACTTTATCGTAGCACTGTGCGGGATGATAATAGAACGGTCGCAAGTACGTTTTATTCAAATTCCAAACTAATTTCTGTTCTAGAATGAAATCTTTCAAGTGTTTGGCGTAGTGAATATTGAACTTAAAGTCTCTCAAATCTTTTAAATTTTGAGGGTAAGACCGTTCAGGTTTAGTCGAGTAGGAGAAAATTTGACCTTGTATATCTGGAGTGACGACAAAAAATAACAAAGTTGTCATGATAAAAGTAACGCGGACCGGTAATTTATCTAACGGCGCGTCTATTCCAGAACCTATGGAGATCCGAATAATATCCAAGAACCCGTCGCCATAATCACGACCATTGTGGATTACTAAAATCACGAACGTTACCACTAAAATAAGAATTGTTACGCTAATAGTTCCAAAATTTAAAAATGTTTCATCGTTTTTAACTGTCCGAACAATATTTATGCGCTGAGTGATCATCATGTCGTAAGTTTGACGATTCCAATTTATAAAATCGATCTTGGGTATGGGTTGGAGCTTGCGTATATTTAAAGCCAAATTATATGTACTATCCATTAATACCGTCATATACCCAGATGCAGTATGATTATTCCAGTAACCTTTTTGATCATAGTATATGATGGGTGTAACATTTAAAGCAGAAAATAAAGTTTCCGCATAACTAACATCTTCAAATTTGTTATGTTTTTGTAAAGAGTCAATATCGTACTTTTTACCACGTGTATAATTCAAGAACGATCTACTAACAGCTTTTACAAGTGAGACTTTTACAAGCGTCTTTGTCTGCAATAGAGAAAAAGATTTGTAAAATTAATGTAAATTTTATGTTGAATGATTGTAATCTTTGAAGATACCGTTTGTGTAAGGCTGCTTGTACAAACTCCATCGATCGTCTGGTCTGTCGGTTGATTCCACTTCCACCCACGGTTCAGGAGCTCGGTTGGTAAAAGGATTATACGTGTACAGCATCATCGACTCTTTGTCATTCGGCTCGTAGCAGACGTAGAATGCTGAGATCAAATTCAATTTCCAGAGAACTTGGAGCATTTTCGAAGCGTTGCCACAAGATTCTACGTTGGTTCCAATGATGAAAAATACAGTTTTAATGCTCCATGTCGGCGATGACTTCAATACATGTAACAGATTTTTCAATTGACTAGCTGAATTAGCGGGAAGAATATACGTCGGATAGGTACGATTGAATATTGTGATTTGTCTTGCTTGATAGTTGTGATCAATGACGTTGACATTTGGATGATCAATGTCTCGTGAAAGTCCATAGATTGCGTCAACTAAATCATCAGTAATAACAACCGGATTTGTGCGTTTAGAAAAACACAATTTTATCAATTCACTCTATTAAAGATTGAAACAGAAAGAATCGAGTATTAAAATATCGAAATTATTAACCTTCTTAATGTTATTTTTGACGAACTTATCATCTTATTCCAAGCAGGTTGAGAATTCTGCAATACAATTTTATCCAATATTCTTCCATCGCCGCACAAACTCATGGTTATTAACCACCACACAATCTTATCCATCAACGTCATTGCTCAACGCTCATATTATTGCACACAATTATTAACGTTTTGTTCAATTTTCGATTATAAACCGTTAAGATGCCGTATTGGTCAAATTTCAGATTATCTACGTCTAATTCTCGTGACTTCAAAACTGCAAGTGATATTTTAAAGTATTTTATTTCGTCCAGGAACTCAAAAATCAATAGATTAATAATAACCTTTCGGACGCTGATGGTATAAAACGCGTCGTTTCATTTTGGTGTCTCAACAGCTGCTACCGATTTTACAAGATCCACTTCCATGTATAACCATCACGTCATTTTTAGTAGATTTCATAGAAATCTAACCATTGCAATGGTCCTCATGACAAAACTTTTGAAAAATTTTGCTATATTCCGACATAACTTGACGAGCTGAGTCAGAAAATACATATTTTGCTATTGCACTCGTTTTTTTTGTTTTTTTTTTTCTTTACTGTACACCAGCAGTATGTAAACAAATAACGAATTAGGGTGAAATAAGGTTTTAATCGCCGGTTTACTAGAAATCCATTATTTTTTTCTATTTATGATGAAATCTACTTCCATTTCGACTGCCGAATGGTCTTTTTATATTTATTATTATTTCGTTTGTTGTGAAGCTTACGCTTAGTTGTTTCCTAGGTACCGAGTATTTTTTAACCTATTTTCTAATTCCCGAGGGAAAAAATTGCAACACGCATAGCTGAAATCATACGAGTATTGCACACATTGATAACATGTACAAGTATAAATGTACATACGTTAACGATAATCTTGCATAATTTTTTAATATCTAAAAGTGGATTATTCTCATAAGAGCTAATTTTCTAGATAAAATCTTAGCAATAAGACAATTTATCAGTTGAATCAATCTGTGCATTTATTTCTTCAAAATTCAACTCAGCGCTACTATTGTTTTTATTGATTGTGCAGAACTAGGTGTACTTATCTACATCAATAGCAAATAACTACGTCAGTTTGAAGTCAAGAGTAGGATTATTTGTCATGATATTAGTAGCATTGATCCGTATCCTGGATACTTGCAATATCCTTAACAACTTTTTCTAGTTTTTAACAAAGAATACAGAAAGTGCTTGTACAGTATAGCTTCCATATGTGTAGACATCGAATGTGCCACAAAATTATTTTTGGATCAAGTAAATTTGTCTTGTTCAAGACTTTTTTCCCTTGAATCAAGAAATTTTTTTTTTTTAATGGTATTCGTAGTTACAAATTTTTTTTCTTGCATTAATTTGAACTAATTATTACATCTTAATATATCAAAAGTAGGGTCATATGTGTTTTACTTTAAAACCTGTTTAACTACTGGGTACTTTACCTTACTTCATTAGTTTTCCAATGTTTTATGATTTCTCCTTTCCCCTTCTCCTCCAGGTCGCAAAAATAGGAGGCCCAGTATACAGAATCGGAGTCGGCGGAGGATCAGCATCTTCTGTGGCAGTCCAAGGAACTCAATCAGCAGACCTCGACTTCGGTGCAGTCCAGCGTGGAGACGCAGAGATGGAACAGAAACTGAACCGAGTAGTTCGCGGATGCACGGAACTCGGTTCCAGGAACCCGATCCTGAGCATCCATGACCAGGGTGCCGGCGGGAACGGCAACGTCCTCAAGGAACTGGTGGAACCAGCTGGTGCGGTGATCTTCTTTGAGAAGTTCGACCTGGGGGACCCGAGCATCAGCGTCCTGGAACTCTGGGGTGCCGAGTATCAGGAGAACGACGCGATTCTCTGCGATGAATCCTCAGTGGCGCTGATCCAGCAAATAGCCACCCGGGAAAAGTGTCCCGTGAACTTTGTCGGAACAGTGACAGGTTCCGGGCGGATTGTCCTGTCCCAGGAGAAGGTCCCTGACGTCGCCAAACACCTGGAGGGCCGGGACGATGGAAAACACCCCGTGGACCTGGACCTGGAGTTTGTTCTCGGGAAGATGCCTCAGAAGACCTTTGCCTCAAACCGCCTCCCGGAGGAACGTCATCCTCTGGAACTTGGGAAAATTTCGGTTCTAGAAGCTCTGGAACGCGTGCTAAGACTGCCCAGCGTCGGGAGTAAGAGGTACCTGACCTCCAAGGTCGACCGATGTGTCACCGGGCTCGTCGCTCAGCAGCAGTGCGTTGGACCCCTGCATACTCCTCTGGCTGATGTTGCTGTCACTGCGATATCACATTTTTCGACTTCAGGTTTGTTAACTACTCATTTTCATATAATATTTTTTTAATTACTAATTTTTTATAAAAAATTAGTGATATTTTTGTTCGATTACTAATTTTCCTTAAAAAAATAGCAGAATTTTTTCCTAATTGTTGATTTTTATGGAAAATTATTAATTTTTTTTTTAATTAGTTATGCTTTCTGGCTAGTTACTAATTTCTTAGAATAATTGGTTCTTTTAAATTTAATATTACTCAATCATTAGAAAATTAAGTAACATTTCTTCCTAATTGATGTTCAAAAATAAAAATTTGTACTATTTCTTCCTAATTACTACTTCTTAAAAAAAAATTGATATTATTTTTCTTCCAACCACTTATTCGTCCAAGCTAATAGTAATATTTCTTCCTAACTAAAAATTTGTTGAAACAATTAGTAATATTTCTTCCTGATTACTAATGTTTCAATAAAAATTAGTGATATTTCTTCCTAATTAAATTACTAATTCTTCAATAATATAAGTGACATTTTTTCCTAATTATTAGATATTTTAAACAATTAGTAGCATTTTTAATAGCTAATTTTTAAAGGCAATTATTTCTTCTTAGCTGCTATTTTTCTACTCTAAATAAATGTTTCTTCCTAATTGCCAATATCAAGGAACAATCAATGAAATTTCTTTCTAATTACTAATTTCTTGAAATAATTAGTGTCATTTCTTCCCTATTGCTCATTTATGTAAGAAAAATTTCTATTATTTTTCCTAGTTATCAATTAGTTAAAACAATTAGTAGTGTTTCTTCCTAACTGCTGATTAAAAATGAAAATTTCTACTATTTCTTCCTAATTACTACTTCTTAAAAATAATTGGTATTATTTTTCTTCCCACCACTTATTTGTCCTAGCTAATAGTGATATTTCTTCCTAATTGCAAATTTGTTAAAAAAGGGTAACTTTTCTTCTTAATTACTAATTCTTTAAAAAAATGAGTGATATTTCTATCTTATTACTAATTTTGCAATAGAAATGAATGGTATTTATTCCTGATTACTAATTTTTCAATAAAATTAGTGACATTTCTTCCTAATTACTAAATATTTAAAACAATTAGTAGCATTTTTAACAGCTAATTTCTGAAGATAATTAGCAATATTTCTTCTTAGCTGCTTTTTTTTACGTTAAATTACTATTACTTCTTCCTAATTGCTAATTTTTTAATAAAATTATTAACATGTCTTCCTTATCACTCATTTCTAAATAAAAATTAGTACAATTTATAAACATTTATTTTCAATTGCTAATATTATAGGAAAATTAGTAACATCTCTTCCTAATTACTAATATAAAAAAAAATGTTAGTGATATTTTTTGCTAATCACTCATTTTTAAGGAAAAGTTAGTAATATTTTTATTTTTACTAATTGTTCAACAAAAATTTCTATCATTTCTTCCTAGTTATAAATTAGTTAAAACAATTAGTAGTATTTCTATTTAAAAGCTAATTTTTAGAGACAATTACTAATATTTCGTTCCAAGTAGTGATTGGTAATGACAATTAGTGATATTTCTTCCCAATTGCTAATTTGTAATAACAATTAGTATTATTTCTTCCTAATTATAAATACCCCTAAAAAATTACTAATATTTGTTTTCTTCCCTTTGACCCAGGTATCGCAACTTCGATCGGAGAGCAGCCAATCAAGGGTCTCGTCGACATAAAACCAGGTGCCAGGATGACCGTAATCGAGGCAATCTCCAACCTAGTCTTCGCAAAGATTTCTTCTTTGAAGGACGTAAAGTGCAGCGGAAACTGGATGTGGGCTGCGAAATTAGACGGCGAAGGTGCGAAACTCTTCGACGCCTGCTCCGCAATGTGCGACCTAATGAGCGACCTGGGGATTGCCATCGACGGTGGCAAGGATTCCTTAAGCATGGCTGCGAGAGTCGGCTCTGAGGTCGTCAAATCTCCAGGAACTCTGGTGGTCTCTTGCTACGCGCCCTGCCCGGATGTCAGGAAAGTGGTGACTCCTGACCTGAAGGGTCCAACCCTGAGGAAGACCACCTACCTGGTCTACGTCGACCTGTCACACGGAAAAAGTCGTCTGGGAGGAACCGCCCTGGCTCAAGTTTACAATCAGCTGGGGAGCGAGGTTCCTGATGTGGAAGATCCCCAGGAAGTCGTCCGGGCATTTGAGACTACTCAGAAACTTATTGCTGAGGATAAGGTCCTGGCAGGTCACGATGTCAGTGATGGTGGACTTCTTACTTGTCTCCTGGAAATGGCTTTCGCTGGAATGGCTGGTTAGTAATTAGTTTTTTCGGACAACTAGTAATCCAAAATTTTTTCAGAATGATCAGTAGTTAGCAGTATTACTAATTATTATTTAAGTAGTAATTCGTAAAGAAATATTAGTAACTTGTAATTGGTAAAAAGAAATATTGCTAATTATAAGTGACTAGTAATTAGTAAAAAATATTAGTGATTGTGAGTAATTAGTCGTTAGTAAAAAAAATTAATAATGATTAGTAACTAGTAATTAGTGACAAAAAATATTATTAATTATTAGTACCTAGTAGTTAGTAAAAAGTATATTACTAACTATTAAAAACTAGTAATTAGTGATTCACAAAACTAATTGTTGCAGAAAACAATTTTTTACTAGTAACTAGTAAAAAATTATTACTAATTACAAATAAGTAACAAAAATATAACTAATTATTAGTAACTAATAATTAGTAATAAAAAATATTACTAATGATTAGTAATTAGTAACAAAACATTACTAATGATTAGTAATTAGTAACAAAACATTACTAATAAGTAAAAAAATTAATAATTAGTAAAAAATATTATTAATTATTAGTAACGAGTAACTAGTGATTAATATAACTAATTTTTGCAGAAAACAATTTTTTTTAAATTGTTACTAGTGAAAAAATTAGTAGTAACTAGTACTTAGTACATATGAGTCTATCAGTAACAAGTAGTTAGTAACAAAAATATAACTAATTATTAGTTGCTAATAATTAGTAATAAAAATGTTACTAATTATTGGTAGCTAATAATTAGTAGTATAAAATATTTCTAATTACCATTAGTAACTGGTAATTAGTTATAAAATATTACTAATTATTAGTGAAAAAAAATTACTAATGACTAGTAACTAATAATTAGTGAAAAAAAAATTACTAATGACTAGTAATTAGTAAAGAAGCAGTAATTATTTTCCAACTAGTAACTAGAAAATAAAATGTTACTAACTTTCCGCAAAAATATTTTTTCTTACTAGTAATTAGTTGAAAAGTATTACTAATTATTATTAACTAGTAACTAGTTAAAAATTTTTACTGATCATTTTTTAATTACTAATAAAAAAATCAATATCATTAATTGTATTTCAAGTAGTGATAATGACAAAAACATTTTTAATTATTTTTTAACTATTAGTCTGTTGAAAAAAAAGTATTAATTATTACTAATTATTCTTAATACAACAATTTTTTAGAAAAATTAAATATCACTAATTATTTTTCAACTAATATTTATTAAAAAAAAAATTGATTATTTTTTAACTAATAATTAGTAAAAAAATATTACTAATTTTCCTCAAAAAAATTAGTAAAAATTTTCCTACAATTTTCTTCTATTTAACAAAAATTGTAAATTTTTTTTCTTATCACTATAACAGGTATCGATATAAAAATCGTTCACAAGGGAAACCAGGTGTTAGACGTGCTCTTCTCCGAGGAAGTCGGTTGGATCTTGGAAGTAGAAGACCTGGAGACCACGCTGAAGACTTTCGCGTCAAACTCCGTGCCCGCGTTCACCGTGGGGAAAACAACCAACCTAGGACTGAGGGAGAAGATCACAATAGAAGTGGCTGGTCAGCAAGTTTTGCATGAGAGTGTGTTCAGGTTGATGAGAACCTGGGAGGAAACGAGTGCCCAGCTGGAGAAGAGGCAGAGCAACGTCTCCTGCGCAGAGGAGGAGTTCCTGGGACTTGAGACCAGGAAGGTTCCCATCGCCAAGTTGACTTTTGATCCCGATTGCTGGGTACCGAAGCAGACCACGGTGAGAGTGGCGGTCATCCGCGAAGAAGGTATCAACGGTGATCGGGAAATGGCGGCTGCTTGCATCCAAGCTGGGTTCGAGACTTGGGACGTGACGGTCACCGATTTGCTTAACGGCCAGGTCACCCTGGACCGGTTCCGCGGGGTCATTTTCCCTGGAGGGTTCAGCTATGCTGATGTTCTAGGCTCCGCTAAAGGCTGGGCTGCTAGTCTGTTGTTCCATCCTGATCTAAGCAAGCAGCTGGACGGTTTCCGACGCAGTACTGATACTTTCAGTCTTGGAGTTTGTAATGGATGTCAGCTGATGAGTCTTCTAGGATGGGTTGGTTCTGATAGCATTCAAAATGATCCCCAGGTTAGTTTTTATTTTTTTTATTTAATTTAGTCATTTTTTTATAATTATTAATTAGTTAGAACAATTGAAAACAATACTTCCTAATTGCTAATATATTTTTAAAAAATTACAATCTAATTTTTTTTTCCTAATTAATCACTAATTGGAGTAATTACTAATACTTTTCTTGATAATTAGTCTTAGAAAAAATTAATTATATTATTTCTTCCTAATAAATTACTAATTAGTTAAAATGAATGGTAACATTTCTTCCTAATTGCTAAATAAAAAAAAAATTACAATAATTTATTTCCTAATAGCTTATTGCATAGTATAATTGATAATATTTCTTCCTAATTGCTAATATATTTTTAAAAAATTACATTCTAATTTTTTTTTCCTAATTAATCACTAATTGAAGTAATTAGTAATACTTTTCCTGATAGTCATAGAAAAAATTAATTATAGTATTTCTTCCTAATAATTAATTAAAAAAAATTAATTATAATATTTCTTCCTAATAGTTCATCTTAAAAATAAATTCATTATGAAATTTCTTCCTAATAAATTACTAATTAATTGAAGTAATTGATAAGATTTCTTCCTACCTGCTAAATAAAAAAAAAAATTACAATCATTTCTTCCTAATAGGTCATTGGATAGCGTTATTGGTAACACTTCTTCCTAATTGCTAAATTTTAAACAAAATTACAATCATTTCTTCCTAATAGCTAATTTTTCAAAATAATTAGTATCACTTCTGACTAGTTATTAATTTTCCAGCATAATACTATTATTTCTTCCTAATTACTAATTAGTTACAATAATTATTAACATTTCTTCCTAATTGCTAAATTTCAAACTAAATTACAATCATTTCTTCCTAATAGCTCATACGATAGCATAATCGGTAATATTTCTTCCTAATTGCTAATTTTTCAAAATAATTAGTGTCACTTCTTACTGGTTATTACTTTTCCAGCATAATATTATTATTTCTTCCTAATTACTAATTAATAACAATAATTTTAGTTACAATAGTTTGCTAATTAGTTACAATAATTAGTAAGGCTTGGTAACATTGCTTTCTAATTGCTAATAATCAAAAAAAATTTTACTGTAATTTTTTTCCTAATTAATCTCTAATTGGAGTAATTAGTAATACTTTTCCTGATAATTAGTCTGAGAAAAAATTAATTATAAAATTTTTTCCTACTTGCTAAATTTCAAACAAAATTACAATCATTTCTTCTTAATAGATCATTGGATAGTATAAAATTAATAATATTTCTTCCTAATTACTAATTTTTCAAAATAATTAGTGTCACTTCTTACTAGTTATTAATTTTTCAATATAATACTATTATTTCTTCCTAATAACTAATTAGTTACAATAATTATTAATATTTCTTCTCGCTAGCTAAATTTTGCCAATATTTACTCTTATTTTCATCTTAATTGCCAATTTTTTAAGGAAATCATTTTTATATTTCTTCCTAATTGCTAATTTGGCAACTAATATTAACTAAATTACTATCAATTTTCTTTTAAAATTATTGTCTTGTTGACACAATCATTAATATTTCTTCTTAATTACTAAAATGTCATAATTCATAATAATTAGTAATATTTCTTCCTGATAGCTTATTTATCAATAAAACTACTATTTCTTCTTCCTAATTGCTAGTTTATCAACTTTTATTGACCAAATGACTATTATTTTTCTTCTTATCATTGTTTTGATATAACAATGATTAACATTTCTTCCTAATTACTAATTTATTAATAAAATTATTATTATTTCTTCCTAATCGCTAATTTTTCAAACAAAATTAATATTGTTTTTTCTAATTGCCAATATATCATAATAATTAGTCACATTTCTTCCTAATTGCTAAATTTCAAACAAAATTACAATAATTTCTCCCTAATTTTAAAAACTTACTAATTTTTTCTTCCTTACCCCTGGCCCAGGTTCTATTGGAACACAACAAATCAGAGAGGTTCGAATGTCGCTGGAGTTCCGTCAAGATCGAGAGTTCCAAGGCCATAATGCTCCGAGGAATGGAAGAATCCGTAATGGGAGTCTGGATCGCTCACGGAGAAGGCAAGTTTACTTTCAAAGAAAAAATTCTCGACAAAATGGCCGCCCAGAAGTGTGTCGCCCTCAAGTATGTTGACGACGACGGAACTCCCACGGAGAAGTACCCGATGAACCCGAACGGCAGCAAAGGTAAGTCTTATTGACTCTACGCCATCTATCAGCAAGAACAAGTACTAATAGTTTATGTTCCATCCGTAGGTGGCGTTGCGGGAGTTTGTTCCGAAGACGGTAGACATCTTGCGATGATGCCACACCCTGAGAGATGCACCCAGATGTGGCAGTGGCCGTACATTCCAGTTGGATGGAAGAATGAAACCTCTCCCTGGCTCAGGATCTTCCAGAACGCGTTTGATTGGTGCTTGGAGTAGTTCTGTTCCAGTGGCGCTGGTGCATGGAACTTGATATGAGATTTTTTATTGTTATTTTTTTATATGTATTTCTGATAATAATAAATTGCGTTGAAATATATTTCAGAATTCTGTTGGAGGTTGGAGAATTTTTATTTGAGCTTATATAATTATATATGATCAAAAAATTATATTTCATTTTTTCATGGAATGGAAAATGTATGGAGTTACATAAAAGTATATGAAGTTATGTGTAATTGTAGAAGTTTGTGAGGTTATGTATTAATAGAATTCTGTATAATTTTTTACAGTTATGAAAAATTATATAGTTTTATATAATTTTATATAGTAGTAAAAAATAATATATATTCTTACAGTTATTTGGAACTCTATAGACTTTTGTAAAGTTGAGTAAAATTATATGGAGTTCTATATAATTTTATAGAGTTCCGTGTAATTATATTGAGTTTTCTAAATATTCTTGTTTAATTTTATGAGGTTATGTGTAATTATGCAGAGTTTCATATAATTTTATGGAGTTCCATGCAATTATACGGAGTTCCATGTAATTATATCGAGTTTGGTAGAAATTTTTGTTTAAATTTACGAGGCTATGTGTAATTTATGTAGAGTTCCATATAATTTTATGGAGTTCCGTGTAATTATATGAAGCTCCACATGATGGTATGGAGTTCCATGGAATCATATAGAGTTCTACACAGAATTTTGTATAATTTTCCATATTTATTAAAAGTTATACCTAGTGTGCTATATTTTACTATAATGATTTGGAATTTTATAAAATTTTGGAGGATTGTATGAAATTATATGGAGTTCTAGTAATTTTTTAGAGTTATAAGAAGTTCTTTATAATTTTCTACAGTTATATAAAATTATATAAAGTTCTATAAATAATTTTGAATAATTTTATGTAATTATGTGTGATTAATTGATTATATAGAGTTCCCAACAATTTCATAGGTTTATATGAAATTATATAGAGTACCGTATAATTTTTTAAAGTTATGTGAAATTATATATACGGAATTTGATAAAATTTTTCTTATTTTAAAGAAATTATTATTTCATATATTTTTTCTATAATTAATAAAAACAATATAATTTTGCAAGATAGTGTATGGCTATATGAGTTCCATATAATTTTCTAAAGTTATATAAAATTATCGGTGATAGAAACTCGCATATAATTTTCGTTAATTGTACAAATAGTCTTATGGTTATATAAAGTTATACATGACTATAAAACCAACATATAAGTTTATATTATTGAACATTGTCATATAAAACTCTACATTGATATAATTATAAAAATTTATATAAATTGCTACATAATTATATGAAATTATATGGATTTATATAAAATTATATGGAGCTACAAAAATTATTTGAAGTTATATCAATAATATAAAATTATACAAAATTATATGGATTTTTATAAAATTATATGGAGCTATAGAAACTATTTAAAATTATATTAATTATATGAAATTATATGGTTACATAAAATTACATATGACTGTAAAACCCACATATAATTTTATATTATCATAAGATTCTCTATATACTTTACGTATAATTATATAATGTTCTGTAAATTTATGTTCAAACTTTGAACTTCAAAGTTATATAAAATTATATGGAGTTATATAAAACCATGTAAATCCTAATATAAAATTGAGATGAAATGTATGTGGCATCAAACTATTCGTAACGTGATTGGTTGAATATATCATAAGCATGAAAATATATGCAAACTCTATAGTCAAAGCGCGCGCTTGCACGCGTAAATTCAAATTCTAGTTATATAAAATTATACATGACTATAAAGCCAACATTCAAAGCTAAGTTTATATTATTGAACATTGTCATGTAAAACTACATAGATATAATTATATAAATTTATATTAATTTCTACACAGTTATATCAAATTACATGGATTTTTATAAAATTATATGAATTTTATAAAATTATATGGGGCTATAAAAACTATTTAAAATTATATGGTTACATAAAATTATATAAAATTACATAGAGCTATAAAAAATTATATGAAGTTCTATAAAACCATGTAAAATTATATAAAATTATTCACGACTATAAAACTCACATATAATTTTATATTAATAAATACTATTATATGAATCTCCATATACTCGTATATAACTATATAATCTTTTATACAATTTTACAAAGCTATATAAAATTATATGGAGCTATAAAAAATTATATGAAGTTATATAAAACCATGTAAAATTATATAAAGTTATTCATGACTATAAAACCCACATATAATTTTATATTAATAAATATTATTTATTATTTATTTATTTATTTATTTTATTGCATTAAACAATTACAAATTTGTTTTTAGCAAGGGGGGTATTTAGTAATTAATACAATTTAGTTTACATTATTACAATAAAGATCTTTGTATAAAAAATAGATAGTTTGGTACAATTTGATCAAATATTTGAATTCATACAATATAATTTACATTATTACAATAAGGATCTTTGTATAAAAAGTAGATACTTTGGTACATTTTGATAAAAAAAAAAAAAATATAGGTTCAGTGTTAAAAATGAAAAATATATGAAATTTGTATTACAAAGCTCTTAACCGAAGAGAATATCAATTATAATGACAGAGCCCAGGCTCTGAGTTGAAGTGCCTTGGTGATGAAGTTGACAATAGCAAACAACGTTTTTGCATCTGGTACAGATAAAAGATGGGAAGCAGATTCGCCGTTACGCAGCAGGTTTTGTAGAAATTGGTGTCTGAAAGCTTGAAAAGCATGGACATCTAACCAGAAGATGCTCAACAGTATCTGGTGCTTTCAAGTTGCAAAGCTGACACGGAGAGTTCCTGTTAAAGCTTGATCGAAAGTTATTAACTATTAAGAAGCAGTTGTACTTATTTGATAGTCTCAGTTGCGCTATCAAGCGTTTGCAGTTGAGTGGAAGCTTTAACGCCAGGTACCCAGCCGGTGAGAATGAGTCTGGTAGCTGGAGTGGAAATTCTAGTGATGATGAGTTCCGAGCAGCCGTAATGTCTGCGCTGTGCAGGATGGTTTGATATTTTTTAAGTATATTTTCCCTTCTGGCTTCCCAAAGCTGATGGTCTAGAGAATCGAATAGATCAAGAGCGTCGCATTCCATCAGAAAGTCTCTAAGTTGAGTTGCCCAGTTATATGGTGATGATGCAGTGGTGTTTTTTGCTAAGTTAATAAGTCGGAGCAGACATACTTTATGCAGACAGTTGTCCTTTGCTTTTAAGGTTTTTATCACCCAGCTCAAAATAAAGCCCATAGCCTTTAGTGCAACTGGGTCGAGCCCAAATTCCAAACGCACCGCCCAGTCTGGCGTGTTTCTAGGCAACTTGAACAGTTTCTTGAAGAAGAAAGTTTGTGCAGGTTCCAATGAATGTCTATACCAGAGACCCCAGGCTGGTATAGCATACAAAAATACCGACGAGACCATACAGTTGTAAATCTTCATATGCGCACTCCATGAATCACACTTGGCTTTTGCTAGCAAAGACATAGCCGCTTCAGCAGCACACTTGGCCTTATTATTGGCTGAGTTCAAGGCTGTGAGACCCCTAGTTGATGTAGAAATCTCAACTCCAAGGTAGGTATAACTTTTGACCAGTTCCAGATAAGACTGCTTGTAGGTTCTGTAACGACAAGGGCAGTCGCGTATTCTCCCAGCTGCCTTGAAGACTAAGATTTTTGTCTTTGCTTTATTCACCGTTAGCTGGTTTAGATCACAATACTCTTTGAGGGCCCTGAGTTTGCGTAAGAGGTCAATATGTGAATGAGCGAAGATAACTGTGTCATCCGCATATAGGATTTGCTCTGATGTCGTCGATAATATCCTGCAACATATCTAATAAATAATGAAGGTCTAAACATTTACGGAAGTATACAGACCCAAGTATGATTGTTGAAGCTCCAAGCTTGATTTCCTTTAAGATCCACCATGGTGAAGCGTCGATCAGCAAAACGGAGTGCTTTTTATTAACAGCTGTTAAAAGACCACCACTTGGTCTGCCTATTGAATGTTCTCTTTGTGCCTCAGCCCAGAATAAATTGAAGTTCATCAGAAAGCCAGGAGTGTATGGGACAGTCACCCAGGTTTCACAAGTAGCTAAAATATCTGCATCACCAATTAATGTACTAGGTTCTAAATTTGAGAAGCCGCGCAAGTTCCAGAAAATAATTTTTATTGTAGTAGTTCCCCCGGCATTTATAATTTATAACTATATAATCTTGTTTATAATTTAGCAAAGCTATATAAATTTATATTGAGTTATATAAAATTATAGGTGTCATATAAAATTATATCGAGCTATAAAAAATTATATGATGTTATATAAAACCATGTAAAATTATATGGTGTTATTTAAAATTATATGAATTATATAAAATTATATACAAAGTTTTATAAAATTATTATAGGAATCATATAAAATTATATGGAGCTATAAAAAATTATATAAAGTTGTATAAAACCATGTACAGTTATATAAAATTATATACGACTACAAAAGTTCACATACAATTATATAAAATTATATAAAGTCAGCCTTAAAATCAAAGTAAACAAAAAAAGTTTACAAACCGACGATGATTCCCACCAAATCACCAAATAGTTTTCTCCACGCCTGTAACTTACAGGTGCGTCTTTTAATAAACTTATCTCTAAATCTGTTATCTATCATATTAAACGTACTAATAATAATGATAACGGCGGCCAGCCTGCCGGCTATTTCTTTCCTATAAAAAAAAAAAAAAATACTTAAATTTATTGAAAAAAAATAAAATTAATATTTCTTCCTCTAAACATTTATTTAAAAAAAATATTTTATTTATTACAGTCCATAAATATTTTTAATACCTTCTGACATTCCAGCGGATAGAAAAAAAAAACTAGAAATAAATTTTTTCTAAAATAATATATATATGTCAACTTTTATAACTTTAATATCATCATTAATATCACATTAGACTTTTTTCAAGCCATTTATCAAGTGCGCTCACACTCATTACAGTCAAGCTATTTTAAAACAATTTAAAACGTGGACAATGTGAGACATTAAATAATAAAACGCTAAAAGAAATAATTTTTAAAAATTAAATGTGTAAAAATTAATAAAATATAATTATATATTCACAGAGAAGAAATGTTCCCGGTAAAATTCCTCCTGTTTTTTATGGTGCTAGACGGCACAGTCTTCTTGAACTCGCGAATCCTCGGGGAAACTAAGGAATTCAGGCCGGAGGAACTCTGGGATCACGTTTGGATGGTCGATCTCTCCTTGGAACACACTAAGAACAATACGAAGACATCGTTCCACTGCGTAGGTGCGCTCATACATGAACGGGTTGTTCTTACCAGTGCCATGTGTCTCAACAGGTAATTATACCCATTTTCCGGAGCATTGACCTCTTTTTGTTCGTAAAATTTTGGGTTGTTTTAATTAATTTTTGGAAAAAAAAGAAAAATTTTAGTGATAAAGCTGCAGACACGCAATTGAATTTTAATTCAAGGCTTGAACTAGAAAAAAAAAATTTTCTTATCACAAATTTCTTTTTGGAATTATAATATATATATTTGTATAGGCCTTATAATTTTACAATGTTTTATATGAGGATGGTGTAATTATAAACATTTTTATTGGATATAATTACACATTGTTTCAAATAATTTTCTTCAAAAGTATGTAATTATATATGGGGCATTCCATGCCAAATCGACCACTTTTGTACCCGACCCTTTTCGATTTTTCTGAAATTTTGCTATCTTTTTCTATCCTATTGAAAACAATTTTCAGAATTTTTTCAAATTTTTTTACCCAACTAAAAAAAAGTTACGAGTTATTTAAAAAAGACAGCTTTTTTTATTAAGTAATCATAACTTTTTTGAAAATTAACTTACTGGGATGGTTTTTTTTGAAATTTTTATTTTTAAATGTACTTTTTAGAAAAAAAATAAAAATAATAATTCGGATTCATATTCAACGTTTTTTTTGAAAATTTTTGAAAAAAACGAAAATTTCAGGATAATTAATTATGACAAAATTATCCTGATATTCATAAAAGTTTCCTAAAATTGTCATGAAAGTCTCATAAAATTGTCATAAAGTAGTCATCCAATTTTCATTATGTCATAAAATTATCATAAAATTATCCTAATATTCATCAAAATTTTCTAAAATTTTCATAAGTGTCCTAAAGTTTTCTAAAATTGTCATCAAGTAGTCATCAAATTGTCATAAAATTAATCTAATATTCATAAAAGTTTCCTAAAATTGTCATAAAAGTCTCATAAACTAGTCATAAAATTTTCATTATGTCATAAAATTATCCTAATCAACAGATTCGGTAGAATCTGGCGCCAAGTTCCGTTCTCAAGCCAGACTACCGAGTGTGTATATACCGTAAGCAGAACGGTTTTTTGAGGTTACAAATTTTTTTTCTAATTTAATTTGATTTTTTTTTTATATGATATTTTATAATAGTAGTTCATGCTTTTTATTACGCGTATTACTTGATTATTATCAATTATCTTTATAATTTCTATTTAAAATTATTCAAAATAATCAGCACAAACTATAGCGACCCAGATTTTTAGATTTTAACTTTTTTCTTATGTAAAAAGCGGACGGCCAGAGACTAAATAATATAAGGATGCATGCTAATCTTATAATAGATGAGAAACTACAGTTAAAAAAAGATATTTGACAGCTTGCAATTACACACGCCAGACGGCGCAAGAATAACTTTTACATGAACTATAGCTTAAAGGGGATAGTTTCTAGTTTGCCACCGGAAATGTATTGAATTAAAATTGTTAATTTTTATTATAATTACAAAAAATACTGAAATCCGAACAAAAACAGTTTCACTGTAAAAAAAATCGCGCCAAGTCCACGTTCATAAGACTATTAAAAAAAAAAAATTTTATTTCTTTACAAAAAGATATAAAATAAAAAAATCCAAGTAACCGATATGGTTGATGTATATGATTTTCGGAAATTAAAAAAAACTTTTTTGTAAATTTAAAAATTAAAAGAAACAATTTTGGAACGTACTTGGTGTGCGTCATTGTGTACTTCAATTTTTTTTAAAAGTTAGTAAATAGAATTCACGAATTTCATTAAAAGTAAAATATTTTGCAACCACGCACACTAAATACGTTCCAAAATTGTTTTTTTTAATTTTTAAATTT